TGATCGCGGTGGGTAGTGGTTAAAGCGTTCGCTCGTCACGTCCAAGATCCGGGTTCGATTCCCCACATGGGTTCGATTCCCCACATGGGTACGATGTGTGAAGCCCATTTCTAGTGTCCTTCGCCGTGACATTGCTGGAATATTACTAAAAGCGGCGTAAAACTAAACCCACTCACTCACTCGCTGATATCATTTCTTGGTTTGTCAGCATCAACCTCGTGGTTCCACCAAGCGTCTGAGACCTGCATCACTTCCTGGTTTCCTCCACAGATGTCACAAGGATACAGTACAAGGCGGCCGTACATTCGTCTCACTGATCACTCAGGTACTGCCATGACAAATAGAAACCAGATAGTTCAACATGCGTATAATCAGTTATTTAACAATATACCTACAGACCCTGAAACAAATATATCTAAGAAAGCCCATGCAAGTCTAGAATATGTTGCAAGTCTGGATTTCCAGTTTCTGAAAACGAAGAAAGCCTCCAGGCTCCATTTGCTTATATTATATTTTAATTATTATGAACTGTTTTTTCTGTAAAATATGTTCATTTCGGAGACTAGTTGTTAGTCTACAATATACCTTAACACTCATTTTAGTTGACAAAGCAGCCAACTGCACGATTTGTCGCTGAAAATCATTTTCTTAATTAAACCGTGTTAAGTTTCGATTCGCCCACAAAGAGATGGAAACAGAACGATACAGCCAATGCATGTGGCTTTGTCTTTCTGGGTTGTCGCAACCAATGCACAGGAAGACGTAACTCAGTTTTTGACGTGAAAATCAATGCGAATTTCGTTCAGGTGCGGTGGTGAACAAAACCGTTTTACCTGCGGCCAAAACGCCAGGTAACAGGTAAAATTCATCACCGATGGAAGCGCACCTGTGAGCTGGCCGGTTGCGGCAATTTTTTCTCTCGGCGAGGACATCAATTCAAACTTTTGGGTACAGTGGATGTCTGATGTGATGTGTCATTCAACGGTGTTGGATAAATACATGACGGACTGTGTATTATAAGTACTATCAGCGATACTCTCCGTACAGGATGTCAGTTAATCGGGACTGACTGAGTGAGTTTAGTTTTTACGCCGCTTTTAGCAATATTCCAGCAATATCACGGCGGGGGACACCAGAAATGGGCTTCACACATTGTGCCCATGTGGGGAATCGAACCCGGATCTTCGGCGTGACGAGCCAACGCTTTAACCACTAGGCTACCCCATGGCCCCAGTTAATCGGGAAGTCACATGACGTAGCATTACATGTAATCAAATAAACAACACTTCAAATCATGTCCTGAGTTATAACAATATGGGACTACATCGCTGAAACAAACATTTGTAGGATACACGTCTTTCGGTGTCATAACTGGCCATCCCGTTTTCTCATTACCACGTTCGGCTTCAGAGTGAACGGTCGGACGATTGAATAAAAATATATTTGAAAAAAAAAGAGAAAACAAATCAGCGTTTGGTGAAGAACACAACCTGGGTCTGTTAGTTTGATATAAATTAAAACATCACGATTTCATCAAGATTACGCAGTGTCAAATGCATCTGTTCCTGCGTCGGTGAGGTGAGGTGAAATTGGGTTTATCGTCGTGCTTGAGAATATTTCGCTCATATGACGACGTGCATGCGTGTGTATATATCTATGTGCGGCTGCTTGTACTAGCCCAGACTTAAGCTGGTTTTATAGTGTTAGCCCACAGAGGTACCATGCCGCAGTGAAGCATGAATACCCAACTCAGACACAGTATACTGACTCCGAGCCGACCAGTCCTTGTTGTACCCATTAATGCCGAGCGCCAGGCAGGGACCAACAAGTACCATATGTTAACGTCTTTTGGTATGACGCGGTCGGGGATCGCTCTCCCGGGCGGACGCTCTAACCACTACACCACGGAGGCGGCCGCGTCGGTGTTGAGAGCTTCGAAGACGGAAAGAAAACTGAAAAGTTATTGTAAGAGTTACTTCCCTTTAAATCCGTAACTGTTTTTTTCCCAAAGGCGGAATTGTATATAAATGAGTAAATAGATATTTTTTCTGCTTTTTAAATTTGTTTAGTAACTCAGTGACTTTTGACAGGCGGGAAATGAGAAACAAAATACAAATTCAGATTAGGGCTTCAACGAGTCCATTTTTTTGGACTCGAGTACTCGAGGGGGTGAGACTCGACTCGGACCCGAGTACTCGAAATTCATACCTTTCAAGCAAACTTTCAATTGTCAAGATAGTTACCTAATCATTTTCAGAAGTGAAATCTCAATCGATGTATAATATTTACTCTCATCTGCAGACTTGTAACAACTAATACCATACAGCCACACCGTGTGAGGAGTAAACTATTTAATCTAGGTGTTAATGAAAACATTATCAGATGGGTTAAAGAATTCAGGGTACATAGAACTCAGTATGTCAGTGTCAATGGCTATCAATCTTCTTTTCTCTCAACCTCTACTGGAGATCCACATGGCTGTGTTCCTTCATCCGTACTGTTACTTGTCAATATATGACTTGTTTACTGTGAAATTTGCAGATGACGCCACTGTTACTGGCCTAATTTCTGATTCTGAACATTATTATCATTAAGGCATTGACAAAACCGTAATGACAGTTTTTTTTCAAACCTTTATTCAAAGTGTGTTGACCTACAATTTTCTATGTTGGTATGGGGATCTGTCTCATCGCAACAAAAACAGACTTTTCAAAATTGTTAATACTGCTTGCAAAATTTCTGGAGTGTCTTTCGAGTATAATCAAAAAGGCAGCTAAAATTAGATTTGATAGTTGACATATTTGATCTCACCATTTTGAACTACTTCCTTCTGGACGCTGCTGTCGATTACCTTCCCTCAAAACAGATCTCGACAGTCTTTCATACCGTCAAGTATTCGTGAATGCTACAAATATTTTGAATCATCATCATGTGATTAAAACTAGAATTATTCAGCCTTTTTACCTATGTGGTTAATTGAATTATATCATGTCAGCTTTATTTGTAAATAGCATTCGTTTTGAGCATGTAATTATTGTGCATATTTTTGTGAACTGTGTATATATTCATTTTGAGACAGTTTGGATGTATGAGAATTTCCTCCGGGATAATAAAGTTACTAGTATATCTTTTTCTTAATATTAGACGTTAACGGCCGTTCATGCTTAGCACATGACAGACAGTCCGTCAACGTCAATAATTCGAGTTATCTCCCCTTTTCGAGTACGAGTCCTTGAAAATGGACTCGAGTCCAGCTAAACCCGACTCGTTCTCGAGTACTCGAGTACCCGTGGAAGCCCTAATTCAGATGGTATTTTTGCAGCAGAAATAATATAAGTGTCGCTTGGCCGAGTTCACTTCCTTTTCAGCTTGTTTTCTCATTAAAAGTGTTTTTATTCGCTAGTTTCAAATATAACTAGAAAGGGCGCATTAGGCTGTGACCATGATTAAAAAGAACATATTATTCCTGGGACAACCCTCCCAACGTGGGTTATAAACGAGATCAGCCACGCTCGTTATACTTATATAGAGGTATACGTCACATATGTCTATCCACGTGTGAAATGTTGTTGTTGTTGATGATGATGATGATGATCTCTACTGGTGGCATGTTTACGTTCCGAATTTTGTTAAGAAAATTGGTTTGATTTTCAGTATAACAAGGTCGCTTCCGTCGTTAAGTGGAATGTGGCCTAAGAGCGGGAGATCGGTGGTGCGATCGGACTGCCACTATAAAACCAACATTAGTCCGAAAATACAAGCAAATACACACGTACACACACGCATGCACATTGACAAAAAAAGTGTAATAATCTTGATCGCGGCTTTAAAAGAGCTTTAAAATATCTCGTACTAAAGTTTGGTGCGATATGTTTTCTTAACCTATCAGTTTTCATTTTCGTATCCTTGTGTATTCGGTTTTCGGTCATGTAAGGATTGCCGACCAACGTAACATAAAGTGCATGAATAAATCGATAATAAACAAACCTACCTCGTTTGTTTGTTATTTATTTATGATATTCAAATATCTGACGGATTAACCTCGTGTTTCACCCGCACAGCAGGCCTCATAGTTCGCTACGCACAGATCGTGAATACGGAAGTGACGTCATCTGTTTTCGTTCACTTCATTGGTTCTCCGTAAAACAGAAATCTAAGTGCAGTATTCGTGCTATGCTGATATTTTTATAATATAAAGTTGATAAACATCCAGTCCAAAAAAGAATATTTGTAATAGTTCCAATAATAATTATTAGAAACTATGGTCGTAATAATTTCATGTGAAAGTTAATCATGATAAGACTTTGCTAGTTACATCACATGTCGAGACATGTTTCACTCCTGCGGTTCGCGGTGACAAGGGCACCGAAACTCATCAGAAGATCTCACTACACGTACGGAGGTGCACAGCTTGAGGTGGACCCAAAACACATCATGCAGGATGAGTACACTGGGCCCATGACACAGAAATATTCATTGGAGTTTCGAAAATTAAATGAGTATTTTTGAAAATCGTAATAAGAGATGACCCTATCCAGCTTCCATATATTTTTTTTACGACGGCAACGCCACGTGATATGTCATGTGATAATGATACATCATACCATAAACAAGCAGACGACCCTATATCCTGAAAAGGTGGAGCTGACGATATTTTAGATATAGCATTTTGATTACATGAAAATTTAAGCATTAGTAAACTTGGTTCTAAAACGTAACATTTACATGTGTTTGCAATCATGTACCTTCCTAAATTTCACACGAATCATTTTGTTAGTCAGTGCTGAAGCAGTCGACCTCCTGCCAAAAATAACCCGTCTGGTGACGTAATATCTCGCTAATAACCGCGAGAAATAAACACGCAAACAGGCGACCGAAAACAGATGTTGAACGAAAACAGATGACTCGAGGATATATGGTATAATTTTGTGAGGCCCATCTTCCGACAAGGTTACAAAATACAAACAAGGATGTACCTCAGAAGTAAAGAAATGATAATGATTCCGCTCGGTTAATTGTAATCCGAATATACAATTTTGACGTCCGTATTTTATTTTGACGCTCTTCCGCTAAGGTAGATAACTCTGTACATTGACAGACCGCCATGATTATCATGAGGCTATGAAAACTTGAGCTTGGCGTTAAAAATAAGAAGTTGTATTTATACGACAGATATAACGATGTACGGTAATTGGCAGCAGGCTGCTATAGGCGGGTATGTTAACCCCCAAATGCAAATGCAACAGCAGCAACATATGTACCAGTGGTATTATCAACAAGGACAATGGCCCCAACAAATCATGCCACAAATGCCTGCTGGACCAGCGCCACCAAATCAGCCTCCACAACCCCCACCACCCGACCCTAGTCAAAATCCCCCGCTTCCTACAGAAGATGTGGACGCCAAAGATTCTTCGTCAGGAAGTGGCCTGAATCCAGCTCCGCCTGTGGAGCCTCCAGTGCCGTCGGAAGAGAAACCCCCTCTCCCTCCAGATCCTCCACCACCAGCTCCAGACAGTGATCAAAAGGGCCAAGAGAAGAAGGTTAGCATGACATTATGAGTTCATTTGAGACTTACTTTCATCCATAATTTTGGTGACTATATTCATTGTATTTTGCTAAAAAGTGATGCTCAATTGTTTTCAGGGGACTCCATGGCAATCTGAAGTATTGTTGGATTAAATGTTTTTCGGATGGCAGTATTTACTCTTGATGTAATCATGATAATGAGTCTCGTTTTTATTATAATCATTCAATGATAATTGTCTTTGGCTGTGGGTAGGGGTGAAACGCTTTTACAATGGTGCAGTACATACTGCAGTACAAGGCCTTTGGTTTGGTTCGGAACGGGAAAATAGCATCCATCTACATGATCTAGCAAAGAAATGCATAAATTTTGACAAAATGATTCGATTTCTAGACATTTTAGAAAAGGTTTAAAACGGTTAATAAAATGACGATGTGAAAACTGAAAATACTGACTTTTTGGATTGCATTATGATATACTGAACCGAAAGGCTAAATACTGCAATTCTACTAATACTGTGGTATACCAGTGATACTATTTCACTCCAACTGTGGGTCTTGCATGTCTCTTTGATCCCTTGGTTAGATATGTGGTATGTTACACATGCAATACACTGGCACCCTCCTTGCCATATTTACTTGGCTCATGTGGCACCTTGTACGGTTGTGTGATGTATGTGGTGTCATCATTTACTATCATTAGGAGAATCACCTTATCTTAACTGAGGATAACCTTACCAATCAAACACAACTTTTGGATGAATGGGATACTTGTAATGTGGGAATATACTCCATCAGTAAGTGCTACAAATGTCATTAACCTGTTGACCCAATCAAAAGATCAGTGTTCACTTGAGTTTCCATCTCTCCCTGGGGAGTATACAACCCAAGCTGTTTGTGACATGTTGACGTGCTAGAAGGTTAACAGTCACTTGGCTCTCTGAACCTACACAGTACCCACTCACAGCTGGATGAACAGAGGCATATTTCAGACATTCAAAGGTTCAATGTTATGACAATGGTGAAATAATTCATAAAGAACGTCTCTTGGTTCAAATAGAATAGCAACAGTCCTTCAACACTCCATGACTCCTAATTTCATAACTTCCTAATTGTTATGATGAGTTTTGAAGTGATTGCATGTACTTGTATATAACAGTGTGAAAAAACTTTCAGGATCTGAAGCCAAAGGATGATGCAGAATCCAATAAATTGGCTGAGTTGGCGAAGCAGGCTCAGCAGTGGCAGCAGCAGAAACAACAGCAGACACAACAGCAGACACAACAGCAGACTCAGTGGAATCAATGGATGGGACAGCCACAGACTGGGTACCAGGCAGGTTATCAAGGAGGGTACCAAGGGGGGTACCAGGGTGGTTATCATGGGGGATATCAGTCATACTCTGGCCAGTCTGGACAAGCTCCAGTTCCAAAACAGCCAGCACCTCCACAGCAGACACAGCCATTGCCACCACAGGCACCAGGTAGGGAACATTTCAGGGTTTATACTGTTCAAGAAGCTATGACAGACTAAACAGGTTCTTCTTCCTTTGAGTGGCATACATGGCATAATTAGCAGGACCCGGTTGTATCAAACTTTAATGAAGCATTAGCGTGCCATTAAAAGTTCATTAACTAATGTATCATTAAATTCAGTTGTACTAACGTTTTAATGACGTCGTGTTGTCATTAGTGCATCATTAACTTAATGAAGGTTCTGGGTATCATTAGAGCGTCATTAACTTCCTGGAAAAGTGTACGTTGCCCCAGAATTTCGTTTGTGCAGCATTGGATCGACCTACAGCTATAAAATTACACAGAAATGTAGAATATTAAATTGCCTATACCATAGTGTAAACTCAAGTGCAAATACTTAGGCAATACTTTCATGCAATAAATAAATCATTGTTATCTATGTTGTCAGTTTTACTAAATGTTGATAATGAAATTAGTTTCATGAAACATATCTGAACAATACGCAAATTATACATTAATACTAAAAGTGTAATCCACAGGACAGTGTGATTGTGTTTGCTCTTATTCACCCGACCTTCACCTCAAAGAAATTGCCAAATACGTACAACAATGTTGATGTATGACATCACTACCGATGACCGATTTCTCATGATCTCATGAAATGGCAGCTTTGTGGATAGACCCATGGGTGCCCACGATTTTGCGAGGGTACCTTTGTCCATAAATGTATGATGTAAGTAATCAGAAACATTCTGACTATCTGCATATAATTATTTGCTTTTAATGCTTTCATTGAAAAAGCCAGAAATGCAGATGATGCATTTGTCACAATGGAATATGAAATATACGTGTCCTATGACCGGCCTTGCCGAAACTCGATTTTGTAAACACTATCCAATATGGCAGAAAGCTCACTTCGGCGATCGTGTATTTTCCAAAACATCCCAACTGATTCTAGGTTTATAGGCGATGTTTCAGAATGACTGAGATGTGTTTCTTCACTGCAGTTGAAATGATTGTTTTTGTTCCGAGGCTTAGTCGTAAAGATGCCATTTTGACAGACGACCGAGTGTTTACGTTGCAGAATTGTGGGAAATGTTTAGGGGAATCCCCGAGTTTAATGAAAATATTTACAAAAGGACGTCATTAGATAATGATACGCTAATAAGTGTTTGATACAACCGTTTTTAATGATGCCATTAATTAATGATGCATGTATCATTAGGGTTTAAGGTTGACATTAGTTAATGAAGCAATGATACAACCGGATCCAGGTCATTATGTTTATAATTGATGTCAGGATATTGCATGAATTGTAGACCTAGAATAATGATAGTAGATAAGTTCACTCATCATTCACAAAAGATATTTGTGAATTGTGTCAGTTATGCAAAGAAAATATGAATACCCATGATATCATACCACCAGTATGTGTTGGAACATTACTTCCTAGTAGTATTGGAATCTTCCTACTAAACAGACTGTAGGAATAATGTGGAAGATCAATATCCAGATAGTTTTTGAAACTGTTTTACATCTTGTTACAAATGCATATTTAGACAATTCATTTGCTTGGATTTTGTCCCCACTGACCAATAATATTCAGAATGTCAGGATGTAAGTGGGTAATGAGCTACGAAAGTCCCCTTGGCTGTGCCTTGATGATAATGCAGTATTCTTTTCACTTGCTAACATGTAGAGCCATTCCGGCTTTTTAGTGACATTAATTTAAGGTTGATTTGGAGAAAGTAATCTAGAACCACCATGGCCAAGGAAACAAAGATGGTAGTTGTGTTAGACAACAATTACTTGATCCAAAATAATGTTATAATAATGTTATGGTCCATGGTGACAGCAGGAGCGTCATTGCCTGCTATTTTGGGGGGCTTGCAGTCCTGAACAATATAATCATAAGCTATATTGAATTGTCTCATACATTGACAGTTTTGTGTTTTATTTTCACACAAAAGTACTGGAAAGCAGTTAACTGTTGAGTGTTAGGGTTGGGTACCTTACTCTTACTTCTGAACTTGCCATTCCCACAGCCTGTTTCTTGATTGAAAAACCTGCAGTACCAACATCATTAAATCATTCACTCAATCATTAACCATTTAAGCTTGTCGTCTGATTCACTCTTTCCAAAATATAACATAATAGCTGTTGGGGATATGATGTCAATTTATATTACGATTGACACATAATAGTAATAGTAAAGAAAATCAGTTCATACAATACATAAACTCCTTCCTTCTAGATAGCAATTTAAAAACTAACGTGCCATGAAATCCTTTGTTCCTGCCAGTATTAATCTTTTAAGTCATTCTAGTGTTTGTCTTAACTTGTTATGAGCATGTTATATCTGTGTTATTTATTACATGAAAATAATTTAATAATTTTATCAATGATTGAGCTCTGTACTTTACACAAGAATTCCCTCATGGGTAATAAAGTATTGTCATTGTCATAAAAGGTATACCCAGGGAGGTGGGTGGGTGTCTGTATGCTCCGGCTGCAGCCGTGGGACTGACTTCTCGGTTCGCAGATAGATGAGTGCGCATGCACGCTCGCTCCGCACATGCATGCTTGCACAGTAGAGTGCTGTCTCCAGGTAGAGCACCTGTCTGTCCATGGCCTGTAGGAGTTAAACTTTAATAATATGAATTATTACCCCAATAACTGAAATACTGTTGGACAAAAGGGCCTTGGACCCATCTCACTGACTGAGACACTTATGTTTAGAAGGCGGTGCAGCAGGTCCAGCAGGTCCAGCAGGTGCCCCTTCGTCTGTGGAGCTTGATGCTGTCCTGGACGAGGAGAAGGAGTTTGATGTCCAGTACAAGCAGTGGAAGGAGCAGTATGACACATGGAAGGAGCAGAATAAAAGTGAGCAGTGTTCATCTCTTGACAGCCATTCACATGCTTAGTTTCCTAATGATATTTCAGAAAGGTTTGAACTTTGTTTTCTGGTGGCATGAGTTTGCAGTGGTGAAATGATGTCTTCTCCCATCAATAAGCCCCTGTTGAAGAAATTATGATTAACAGCATTGTATTTGTTTAATTGATCACACAACACTATTGAAAACAAACTTGAACTGTGTAGAATTGAACCCCTGTAAAAAATACTTGTCCTGGCTAGTGAAAGAAAATGGATCTGGTAATCAGTTTTGATGAGTTTCTGCATGCCATTGGTCCTTGACACCATGGACGTTGCTTATACTATCAATCAGTTTATCTTGTTAAGATTTGATTGTACTAGATGATGACATAGCTGAAATATTACTGAATGGAGTGTTGAAGTAACAAAACCAACTCTATAACAAATTTGCAGAATGTGATGTGCCATGTGTATTTTCAGATCATCCAAACAAGGACCAGTTTCGTCAGTATGAGCAGCAGTGGCAGCAGTATGAACAGCAGATGGAAACCAGGAGAAAAGATATCCAGGATCGGAAGGCAGTCATTGAAAAACAAACAGGAGCTGAAAAACCAGCACCAAAACACCCTGAAGAACCTAAGCCAAGCTATCAGCAGTTTTCAGGATCATCAAAACAGGGAACCCAAGGCAACCAACAATTCCCAGGAGAGTCTCAGCAGGGAGCCCAGAGCAACCAGCAGTTCTCAGGAAAATCTCAACAGGGAGCCCAGAGCAACCAACAATTCCCAGGAGAGTCTCAACAGGGAGCCCCGAGCAACCAGCAGTTCCCAGGGCAGCAAGGCATCAGGGGACCTAACAATTTTCAAGGACCACCAGCAAGATTTGGCAACCCTAGATTTGGTGGATCTCAGAGTCGTTTTCCCAATCAACAGCCAATGAATCAAAGATTTGGTGGTCTAGGAAGTCGACCCCGGTTTCCAAACCAGGCTCTGAATCAAGGCTTCCAGGGAAGTCCAGGCACAAATGCCAAAAGCTTTGAGGACCAGACTGGTAAGGAGGACAACTTAAATGAAGATGATATGGAGGAAGGTTTTGGTGATGAGGAGGAAGAGGAACAACAAGGAGGTGATTATGGAAGCCAACAAGGTTATCCTCCAGGTAACCATGGAAACCAACAGTTCCAACAGGGTATGAACAGATTTCCTGGGCCAAGGGGTCCTCGTTTTCAAGGACAACCAAGATTTCCAAACCAGAACTTCAGAGGACAAAGAGCCCCAGGGCCTTCTGGTTTTCAAGGGAGGCCTCCTTTTCAGGGTGGTAGAGGAAGAGGTGGAGTTGGTCCTAATCAAGGTCCTGGTTTCCGCTATCAAGGACCTCGAATGCAAGGACAAGGACAAGGACAGTTTGGACAGCATGAAGAAGAACATGAAGGAGTAGAAGCAGTAGAAGAGGAAAGTGCTGAAGATTATGTAGAAGACGATCCCTCTGTTCAGCATCAGAATTTTGGACAAATGGGTGTACGGCCACAATTTGGTGGGCCCAGATTTGGTGGGCCAAGGGGTCGCTTTGAAGGACCAGGTGGACCAAGGTGGGGAGGGCCAAGAGGTCCACCTGTTCAGAGGTTCCAGAGAGGACAAGGGCCAAGATTTGAACCAAGAGGTCCACATCAAAATAGAATGCGGGGACCAACACCTTTAATGGATATCACCTTTGAAGGACAGGATAACTCAGAAATGGATGCAATGGGAGAAGCAAATGAGGAGGAAGAGGAGGAGGAGGAGGGTTATGAACAGCAAGGAGGACTTGGTCCAGGTGCCCAAAGGGGACAGGGTGGTCCCTTCCAGGGACCAAGAGGACAAAGAGGGGCTTTCATGAACAGAGGCCGAGGCATGCGTGGAGGATTTGGACCTCCTCATGGACCAGGCTTTGGTGGACCTCCATATGGTGGCCGAGGGGATCAGATGTAAGTTAAACTGCAGTTTTGTGCAGGTCTGTTTAGGGAGCTTCCCTTTAGCTTTCATGGCACGATATCTTCATTGTGCAAGTGTATGGATCAGGAAACATTGAGTTTCAAATCAGTTATGGGCAGATTAAATAGTCACCAGGGAGTTATTAGACCATTGAGGGAAGGTATGGCATTCTGGATACATGGTAAATACTTTTGTTAACACTTTTGAACACTTTATTCTTTTAATTAGTTTTGCTTTACATTTACAATTTAAAATGTTCATATTTACTGTAAATATGTCATCTAAAGTACTAGGGTTGTAATTCAATGCACATGCACTAGATGTTTGTTTCAATAAAACTTAAATGTTGTATGTACTGATGTGACAGCGAGAATCGGGTAGTTATGATGCAAGTTTGATCATGTGCAAGTATTCTCTTGGCATGATGTGGTGTGGATCTTTGCTTATGCTGTCCTCACTGGTCTGCCATAACTTCATTATTTACAAGCTGCCATGATGTGCAGCTCTGGTATGCACCAGTAAATGAGCAAAACACCTCTGGAAGGTCTGGGTTAGAATTGGTGTTCAGCAACCCATGCTTGTCGTAAGAAGTGACCGACAGAATCGGATGGTCACGCTCGCTGATCACCTTTTCCCATGAGTGTTTATCGGGGCGGTGGGGTAGCGTAGTGGTTAAAGTGTCTGTTCGTCACGCCGAAGACTCGGGTTCGATTCCCCACATGGGTACAATATGTGAAGCCCATTTCTGGTGTCCCCGCCGTGATATAGCTGGAATATTGCTAAAAGCGGCATAAAACTAAACTCACTCACTCACTCATGAGTGTTTATCAATGCTCATGATGTCAATCACTGGAATGTCAGTTCCAGATTTGATTATGTACAGACTGCTGTACTACAGCTTGGATTTTGGAGTGCAGTGTTAAACAATTAACAACAATAATGGCGAACCTTAAGTTATCATGTAGACAGTGTAGGTACTATATCAAAAGGGGTATCACTAGGTATCATGATATCTATGTTTTGGAAACATCTTTATGCCAACACTGTACCGATACAATTTTATGAATATCTGTACTTATTCGTAAGTTCACATTTACAATTTACAATTATTGAGAATACCAAGGTTTAAACATGTTAAGATGGCGAATGAGAAGGCAGAAAGCTCAGTTTTTAAAATTTCATTTCAAGTCCAGTTTATGTTCAGCATTAAGTGACCGTCTCCTTGGTGTAGGGGTTAGAGTGTCCACCCATAGAGCGGAAGGTCACAGGTTCGATTCCTGGCTGTGTCATACCAAAAGACTTTGAAATATGGTACTTTTTGATCCATGTCTGGCGCTCAGCATTAATGGGTACAACAAGGACTGGTCAGCTCTGAGTCAATATAATGTGTCTGAGTGGGGTATTCATGCTTAACTGCGACATGGTATCACAGTGAGCTGGCACTATAACACGAATGCATGTCGTCATATGAGCAAAATATTCTTAAGTACGATGTTAAACCCAATTTCACCTCACCTCAGCATTAAGTTGATTTATTATCCCCCGCCGCACGTTTAAAGCGAAGCGGGGGATATAGTATTATGTTCCATCTGTACGTCCGTCCGTACGTATGTACGAATTAGAATATCTTAAGAACTGTTGACGAGATTATTTTCATATTTGGTACCTAGGTTCATCACAGTATGAGAAAGGTCCCAGTCAGGTTTGGTGACCTTGACCTTCATTTCAAGGTCACAAGGGGACTTTAACGTTTTACTTTTGACAGCGAAATATCTCAAGAACCGTTCACTGGATTTTCTTCATATTCAACACCAAGCATTATCTAGGGAAGGCACAGGGTCAAGTCGATTTTGGTGACCTTCACTTAATTTTCAAGGTCACAGCGACACTTTAAAGATTTCCGCATGTTAAATTGCAGGTTAAGATAGTCAGCAAGATATCGCAAAAATACATTCACTGGATTTTTCAAGGTCACAAAGACACTTTAAAGATTTCAGCATGTTAAATTGCATGTTAAGATAGTCAGCAAGATATCGCAAAAATACATTCACTGGATTTTTTTCATATTTGACACCAAGCTTCATCTAGGGAAAGTGCAAAGCCCAGTCGATCTTGGTGACCTTCACTTATTTTTCAAGGTCACAAAGACACTTTGAAGATTTCCGCATGTTAAATTTCATGTTAAGATAGCAAGATATCGCTAAAAACATTCACTGGATTTTTTTCATATTTGACACAAAGCTTCATCTATTGAAGGCTCAGGGCCCAGTAAATTTTGGTGACCTTCACATAATTTTCAAGGTCACTGCGACACTGAAGATTTCAGCATGTTAACCTGAATTCACAGGATTTTCTTCATAGACTTTCAAGACTTCCCTTGAATGTTTTTCAATAAGCAATTTCTTTAGTACCATTTTTGCATAATTCATACACTATGACATTCATGTCAAGGTCAAAGTCAGTGTTGAAAATATGTGTGTGTTTGAACAACTAAAGAGCAAGATATCAAGAGAGGTTAACTGGTTATGTTTTTGTTGACATTTAACTTCATCTTAAACTTCCATTACCTTTTAAGTTTGATTTGATAATTTGTGCGGGGGATTATGTCACCGTAGTGACAATGCTTGTTGAATTATTCCTTAAGTGAATTTTATTCATGCGTCTACAAAATAGTTGAATGTATTATGAGTGTGTATATCAATATACTATGGTTCTTTTTACTTAATGTATTGATGCTGAAATTTCAAATCATGACAGCCCTATCAATATACTTTCAATAGTATAAAACATTGTACACAGTCACTCATAGTATTGTTATACCATTTAACACAGGCAAGAAGAGGAGATAGAGGATGAAACTGTTCCGGAGGAGGAGATGGGCGAGGAGTTCCAAGAGGACTACAGCCAGGGCCAGTATCCTGGAGGTCAAAGAGGTCGTGGTGGACCTCAGAGATGGCAGAGAGGTCGGGGTGGACCTCGTGGGGCCATGGCAGACAGGGGTGGCTTTGGGGGGCCAATGTAAGTCAAGATTTTATGGTCAAACATGAATAACCAAACAAAGGCAGGAATTTGGAATTGCTCTATGTTGTATATTAAAAATATTACCATCTTCTTTTGGCACATCATCAATGTGACACACACACACACACATGTAATATACATGTAATCCTCAGAATGATAATTGAGATAAGATGAAGGTGAAATTGAAGTATTGATACATGTTATTGAAACATTGATATCTGTAATTGAAATCTTTGCCAATCTGATTTATGTTTCCTGTGTTTATATTTTCAGGAACCCACGAGGACCAGGGCCTTATGGAGGCTCAAGGATGGTACGTGAATCTAAGCATGCAACAATTAGATTGTTATAGGCAGACATCCTATTCGTATATAGACCGTTATGTTTTATAAAGAGAAAAAGCCTTCCAGCATTTCTTGTAAGTAAATATGCATACATATTACCACGGTTACTTTGGAAATGCTGAAATTCTGTTGACAGTCATAGCATTTATTCTTTACTGGTAAACTTTGCTGGTGTTTATGTATTGTGGCCACCTTGTGGTTAATGTGTTAGCTCTTTTAGCCAAAGGCCCCCTTCTGAATTTTATACTTGACTTGACTCTTTCTAGCTTTGGGACTGATTTGGGATGGGTGTTTTTTCAGCCTGGACCTCCTGGTCGTGGTGGCCCAAGAGGTCAGACCCCAGGACAAGGTGGCACTAGGTTTCAAGCACCAGGCCAAGGTGGCCCAAGGGGACAGGCTCCAGGCCTTGGTGGCCCCAGGGGGCAGGCACCAGGACAGGTTGGCCCAAGGGGTCAAGCACCAGGTCAGCGTGGACTCATGGGTCATGCCCCGGGTCAAATTGGCCCAAGAGGTCAAGCACCAGGACAACAGTTTGGTCCTAGAGGTCAAGCACCGGGTCAGATGGGTGGTCCAAGAGCACCACTTGGAAGAGGTGGACCAAGAGGTCTAGTGCCTGGTAGGGGTGGTCCAAGGGGAACAGCACCAGGTCAAATGGGAGGTGCTAGAGGTCAGGCACCTGGTCAAATGGGAGGTCCGAGGGGTCAGGCACCAGGCCAGCAGGGTGGACTTAGAGGATCATCTCCAGGTCTTGGTGGAGCACGAGGTCCTTCCCCAGGTGTAGGTGGACCTCGAGGTCCTTCTCCAGGTCTGGGTGGACCTCGAGGACCATCGCCTCATGGTTCTCAAGCCTCACCATCAGAGCAACCAGCAGGACAACCTGACGCGAACAGTCAGGATAAGCCATTGTTTCCTTCAGCTGTAAAGATGGAGGACAAAGAAGAGAAAAAAGATGGGTCCAGTGAGCAGCAGGCAGATGATGACAGCAAGACAGGTCTCGTGTCTTATCAGGAGGATGATGACGAGACGCCCTTAAAACTGGTAAACTAACATTGAAGCTCCTGTGTGTATTACAGTGCTTCACCGGTTAGAATTGGTCTTCAGCAACCCATGCTTGTCATAGGAGTCGATACGGGATTGGGTTGATGCACCAGCACCTGGAGTTGATCCAATTGCGTAGATTGGTACTCATGCTGTCAATCACTGGATTTAGTGGATTGTCTGATCCAGACTTGATTATCTGCAGACCACTGTCATGTAGCTGGAATATTGCTGAATACGGCGTTAAACAATAAGCGAACAATTACAGTGCTCTGTAAAACACTGCAACACCTGTCTATAAATATGTCTGTGGTCCACATTTTCTGATCAAAGGTAAGGGAATAGGGAAATTGGTAAGGGACTTGCTACTCCCAGTATTAAAGGACATGAAGACATCCTTTTGCATCAACAGATTTCTGCCTCGTAGTCATATTGTCCAGGAAACCATCTTTCAGAACAGTGTTCTGATTTGCTTATTCAGGGATAGGTATACAAGACCACGATTGTTAATATATATCTTAGGCAGTGCCCATTTGTTGTTGAATATGAGACAATCCAGGTGTGCACAAATCTTGAAATGTAGAGAATGCCTAGTGGTGAAAGCGTTCACTCGCCGAAGACCCAGTTTTGATTCCCCACATTGGCACAATGTGTGATGCCCATTTCTGGTGTCCCCCTGCTGTGATATTGCTGGAATATTGCTAAAAGTGGCGTAAAACTAAACTCACTCACTCACGCACCAACGACCCACAAAATGTTTTGATAGGGGTCCCTGGACCCCCCACATTTGTAAGTCACGGTAAAACCCTGCAGTTTGGTTAGGATAATCTTTTGCTTGAGTTTGCAAATTACAGTTATAACCTCATGTTATACACAACAATATAAAAGATTTAGTAAATTGTCTCTTTCAAAAGGCTGAGTATTGTCTGGCCTCTTTCATTTACCAAGTAAGTCAATGCATCTTTCAATCTTTGGATAATTTGTTTGTAATTCTCTAAAAGATCTTCACTGTATTGAACATTGCATCCATATGTTTTTTCTCATCTTCAGGAGGGTCAAGCTGATAGTAACAACAAAGGCAATTTTGACGAGAACATTGACGGAAATTTTGATGGGAACTTTGAGGGCCAGTTTGATGGGAACTTTGAGAGCAATTTTGATGGGAACTTTGAGAGCAATTTTGATGGGAACTTTGAAGGAGGTGTTGACAGGAACTATGAAGACCCTTGGAATTCCCATGGTCGTGGTGGTCCAAGAGGGCGACCTCCACATGGTGGGCCATGGGGTAGAGGTCGTGGAGCAAGAGGAAGGGGGGGATTTGGTCAAGATGACCGTGGTCCTTACCCATCTGAGGACAATTTTCAAGACAGACACGAAGCTGATTATCCTCCTTATGATGTAAGTATAATCTCACTTCCTTGTCGAGGGGTGGGGATGATCCAGGTGGCCTTCATGGTCTAAGCGACAACAATTTGTTGCGGAGAGTTGCTTCCCTTAGACATGCCTGAAACTTAAATTGTGTTTTCGAATGATCTTCCCACTTATACCATACACTGGCATGTTGGTATCACAAATGTGGAAATGTGGAAACAAGTGTGAAAATGTTCATTGCTTCAGGCATTCCACCCACATGACACTGACATGCTGTAGTCATTGGGGATGGAACTGACATATTGTTGAGCCTGAGTATGTTTCTTGTCTGTCAGCACCCATGCTCGTGGGTTTCACCAGAGTGGTTAATTTCTGAGCCCTGCTCATTAAGACCACTGGATAACATTCACTCCCAATCACATGAATGGTTACACGTTATTGATTTTAATTTTAACATCTCATCATTGTTTTAACAAATTCTTGAGAAAACTATCAGCTGACATGTTGTATATTTTCCAGTCCTTCAACCGGGACTATCCTCCCAGAATTCCTCCACCACATCCTGAAGACCCCTATGCTGCACGAGATCCGTACTATGAGCGACGGGCCCCCTACTATGACCGTCCCGATGACAGGAGCTATCCGCCTCCTCCCACACCTCCAGCAGCACATCCATATGAACGATTCCCCTACAGAGACAGAGACAGGTACGTGCATCCACTGATTACAGGTTAGAATAGGGACCTAGACTGGTCATTAGAGAGGAGGGAATGGATTGGATCGCCAGGAACGGTGACTTTGCATGGATTGATGATGACAGTATTGATCATTGGATTATCTGGTCCAGGCTGTAGCTGTCATATAGAGGGAATATGAATCATTTTTCCTTATCCTGACTCATGCTAATTATGCTTGTCGCCTTCCTCTTGCGAATGATAGTGGAACACTTAAAATCCCTTGAACTTCCCATTAAAAAAGCTGACGTAAAATCACTCGCCCAAGAGTAGCGTCCCTTTCCTCCCTTTGGCGCCTAAATGGTCACATGATCGGCCATATTTGTCACTCTCTCCTTCTTCGCCCTTGAGCACGGTTGTGAGAGCACCTGGGTCCCTATACGGCACATATCCTTTTATATTTTCGGACCTTAAATAAAAATTATTGCTGTATATGGTTTTTAGGATTATATTCTAGATTACGGTTTGAAATTTGTTCTCAAATTTCCGTTGTTTGACATGTGTTTTCTTCATGTTTACGATTGATGAAAACTTGTAATCATTGTAGGTACCAAGTGTCTGCGGCTGACCCGCATTTATTATGTCCTAATTGCACTGTTTCATGTTCTTTCAGCTCTCGCTGTGAGTATTGTGTAAATTTAAATTCAGTTAAATTTACTAATGACCCTTTTTCCATCCATAGACGTGCTAAGGACTGGGTACGTAGGTATTCACAAGTCATGTCTAAATCGACCACTGCTGCAGATATTCATAATTCGAGTGAATTACTGAACGTTTCTCAGGAGCAGGTCGATGTACTAGAGGTGAACGCCGGAGACCATAAGAGATCATCGTCTACTGAGCTGACCTAATCGCAGATAAAGAAGGCCAAATCTTCAGCTTTGCAGAAGAAGAAGGCTACTACTATGAAGACTTCAGCGAAGTCTAAGATCAGCTCTACTCAGAAGACGAGGTCTTTCTCAGCCGAGATTGTTCCTCCAGAAGAAGCAGATGTTTATGATGATCCACCCATCCTCATCGGCATTGGTATCAGTTGCAGATATTGACAGAAGACCTACTATCAACGCAGACATCGGGTACCAGAGATAGCAGCAGCGTCAACTCTTCTCGAGTGCAGCGAGCCTTAGATGACGTCTCTTCAGTATCAGATGCATCATCCCTGCAGCAGTCTCTTCAGACAACGCAGAACTTCAACCTGGGACTGTTCATGCAATAGTTTACAGACCAGATGATGTTGATGATGGAACGTCGCTTCGCTCAAGAGAAGGCTGCTATGAAGACCACTACAACGTCTACTAGCCTGCGTGAAGGCTCTACAGTCTCCCCACCACATCTAGATCAAGAGGGAAGCCTGCACGAAGGCTCTTGGACACGACGATCTTCCCAATCTGAAGTAGACGCCCCCAGAGAGTGTTGCTAAGAAGTCTCCACGCAGGAAGGAATCAAGACGTTCTCCCGAACCCTACAGATGTCGCAGATATGAGTCGTCATCTCCATCGGACTCTGACGCCCATTAAGAGCTTGCGCGAAGACACTCCTACAGAGGGGAAACTACGTCCAGGAATCCACCTTCGTGAAGATCTAGAGAAATATCTCAAATCTCCGGGAAAGATTCAAAATCACATCGGGATCGTTCGCCTGCGCGAAGCTCATCTTATAGATCATCCTATAGAGACTCAAGTCGTCGTGCATCCTTGGAGCGAGAAATGTCTAAATCAGAGGATGAAGGTGAAGGCGTCTTCTCCTATATGGAAATTAACTCCTGGATCGCCAATGGCTTGGACTTATCTGTGTCCTTAGAAGGTGATGATGAGGCGTTTACCTACAAGATGTCCAAAGATGATTTCGACACACTCACCTTTCCACCGACCAACCCGATCTGTCAAGTACCAGACAACCTCAATGCAGATTTTGATAAAACCACCAAGTCACAGAGTCAGCACATCCTGACATTCAACGCCAGGAAATTCCCTCTACATAGGATGGACTCAGGGGTGCAAGAGGAAGCAAGCATTGAAGGCCAGGTTCGGAACGACTGGAATCTTTCACCCCCAGCCGTTCCCGTACAACCTTCAACAGTGGGTGGACGTCTTCAACGGTACTGGGAGAATTGGGGGATACTACAGGACGACTACGTATCCCAGATACTGCGCAGAGGGTACAAGATACAGTTGGAAGCCACTCCGCTGCTCACAAGCAACCCAATGGCCTTCAACTACGCAGCCGACCAGATAGAGAAACTGGACGATGCTATCAAGATCCTACACAACAAAGAGGCAGTAGAAGAGATAGATCAAGATCTCATCACACCCGGGTTCTACTCCCCAATTTTCCTGGTACCGAAGAAGTATTCCAAGGAGAAATTTCGGCTCATCTACAACATGAGGAAGTTCAACCGGGAGTATCTACGCAGACCAGCAATATTCAAGATGATACATCTTCCTTCATTGGCCCCCTGGTTGTTTACTCGAGTGACCAAGCCCATCGTCACATACCTACATTGTCGAGGTCTACGCAGTGCTTTCTACCTGGACGACGGGAATCAAGCTCATCAAGATCCCAGTTAACTCAGACTGCAACTAGACTTCACCATCAGGCTGCTCACTCAACTAGGATGGCTTGTGAATCTCCTCAAGTCGGAACTGGAGCCGAAACAAGATCTGCAGTTCCTAGGAATTTGACTCATCATGCCAGTAAATCGTATAGTCGTTCCAGAGGATCCTTAGGTCAAAATACAACAGATGATATCTCAAGCATTGTTCTCTCTGTTGACACTACGTGCTTGGCAAAGCATGCTCGGTCTACTCACCTCAGCTCAAGACATGACTCTCAGAGGAAGATTACAGTTGCGCCCACTTCAAGTATTTGTGAACGCCCACCTAGACAGCCTAGATCTGTTAATACTACCGGACAGCCTGAAACCATATCTCCTATGGTAGACTCGGAAGTTGAATGTTTGCGGAGGAACCTTTTGACAGCCGGTTTGCAACACTCATCTCTACGTGGATGCCTCCATACAAGGATGGAGTGCGCACTTCAACAACGAAGTGGCAGCAGGGAAGTGGTCGAGTCAGGATCAGAAATCAGACATCAATCTGTTGGAGATGAAAGCAGTAATCAACACTTTACAACATTGGTCCAGCTTACTAAAGAACGCACGACTCATGGTACACACAGACAACTCCACAGTGGCGTTTTACAAGCGTCAACAAGATCAACAAGTCCGCTACAACTCAGCTTTCTCCTGTTCAGCATAGTCGATGACCTGAACATCTACATGAAGGCACGCCACATTCCGGAAGCAAAGAATGTCATAGCAGACGCCCTATCTCGTCCACTACAACCATCCCCAACAGAATGGATGTTGCATCCAGAAGCATTCCAGTTCATCAGACAGACTTTAGGATCCCCACTAATAGACCTGTTTGCAACAAAAATCAACAAACAGCTACCAACGTTCAGTTCACCGATTCCAGATCCTCAGGCATGGGCAACAGATGCTCTAAGCATCTTACTACCACAAGTAATACAGAAAATCAAGCAGACGACTACGTTGCAACTGATTTTGGTCGCGCCCTATTGGCCAGCGAGGGTATGGTTTCCCATCCTCATACAAGAACTCGGAAGTCCAACCCTGAAACTACCAGAGTGGTCGAACCTACTCGTCCATCCTCACACCAAGCAAGCTCACGGGAACCCGACACTTTTTCAGCTACACGCATGGAGCGTATCAAAGCTTGCCTGAAGACTAGAGGGTACTCCGCTAGAGCAGCGAAAGCAGTTACACTAGCTCTACGAAGATCAACACGCAACTTGTACGACGACAAGTGGCAGAGATTTGAACAATATGCAAAGAGGAAAGGCTTTACAGCGGTGAAAGCAACACATCCTCAAGTGGCGGAATACTTATGTCATCTACAACAGACGAGACACTTAAAAGGTTCAACACTTTCAACGTACATAGCGGCTCTCAGTTCAGTTATCACCATGAAAACGGGTATCAAGCTGACCAAAGTACCAGAGATTCTGGCACTACTACATTCGTTCAAGTTGGAAGACCAACAAAAGAAATTTAAGGCTCCTGCCTGGGATCTCAACGTAGTTTTACATCAACATCTCACCAGTGATGCCTACGAGCCTCTAGAACAGACATCTTTTGAACTACTAACTCAGAACACGCTGTTCCTGATTGCCCTAGCAACAGCTGCAAGGATGTCTGAAATACATGCTCTGGACTTTGAACGAACACGATTTGAATCAAGACATCGTGACATCGTACATCTGGGACTGAGATGGGATTTTATCGCCAAGAACCAACTGCCTGGTCAGCCTGACAGACAGTTCCACATCCCAGCACTATCTACAGTCTTTGGGCCACAGGATACGCAGGATCTATCCTTATGCCCAGTCAGAGCACTAAAAAACCCAAACAAAGAGACGAAAATTCAAGCGCCTATTCATCCCCTTATCCACTGAGACGCCCACGGAAGTCTCTAGGACAACGATATCGATCTGGATGAAAGCCGTTATACTAAGGGCCTATAAAGCAGCAGGACTGGAGCCTCCACGAGCCTCCAATCCTGCTCGATTACAACTATAATGGAGGGCTGCTTTTGGAGATCGAACACGGTGTTTGCCAACCACTACCTCAGAGACATTGCCACCGAAGACGTCTCAGCATTCACCAGTTTGGTCCACTTGTTGTAGCACAACAACTAACGGTTCCACAAAGGCGCTGAGAAAATCTCACCCTTTTTATCACGTGACTTGTGAAAACCAACGCACTGGAGAGCAAATGGTTAAAGTCCATGCACACGTCTAGGACAGACTAGCATGAGTGATAGACCCTGTACTTGTATAGGACATACTCGTACATGAAGAAGGGTCGCATCTCCACTTGATTCGCACATCAAGAGATGGAGTTGTATTAGATAACTAATGGAATATTAGTATATCTAAAATCCACACAAAAATGTCAGGAAAAGTTTCGGACAAATCAGACAAGTTGTGGTCCCCCCAGACTCATCAGAGAAGTTGAAAGAATCTTCAACAGTGCCGTCATAAGTTCCCAAGGGGGGTAATAAAGGACTTAAATCTACAACCAGTGAATCCAGAACGTGAGCTGACCCACCACCGTTTCCGACGTATTCTGCAAGCATAATTAGCATGAGTTAGGATAAGGAAAAATATGTAATTTTCTGACTAAAATTGATATTTTATACTTATCCTGACTCATGAGGTTAGCCCTCCCAACCTCCCCTCTTATGGCACTCTGGATTTCCCTGTAAATCCGGGTGTCGGGCTTACATACGGAGAGAGTGACAAATATGGCCGATCATGTGACCATTTAGGCGCCAAAGGGAGGAAAGGAACGCTACTCTTGGGTGAGTGATTTTACGTCCACTTTTTTTAAAGGGAAGTTCAAGGGATTTCAAGTGTTTTACTATCACTCGCAAGAGGAAGGCGACAAGCATAATTAGCATGAGTCAGGATAAGTATAAAATATCAATTTTAGTCAGAAAATTACATTTTTGAGCTTGGTGTTACACAACAAACAAACAGGTTTGCCCACATCAGTTCGGGGTGTTATGATACACCTACTGCATGCTTGTAATACTTCATTGTTGATATGATTCAAACCTCAATAGTTTATTGGCTTGCTTTAATATTCATGACTGTTCCCTTTGGTCCAACTATCATATCATGTTATCAACCAGTTTGTGTTTTACACACATGATTGGTAAATTTAGGCTCCATCTTGTTGTATGATATACTGATATTCTGTAACTCTGGGCTAAGTATATGCTATTTAAAGAACCACTAAACTTTGTTTTTTGTTACTCTTTTAACCATTACATATGAAAGATTTGTGGTTAGTCTTATGCGGAACACCAAATTTATTCTTTAAAAACTTGTGGTTAATTAATACCGAGCGATTAAAAGTGGCCAAAAAGTCGCCTGCCTCCCTCTCGCCCGCCAACGAAACCACAGACAGGTTACGTAACTCTGTCGCCAGAGCACTGCAGTGACGTCATATGAGGAACGATTTTCAGTTAGTTGTATAGAAAATGTGAAGCACGCTCATCATTTTGATGATTTTTCGACATCAACGGCGACATGCCGAATCGTTGCTTTGTCGTCAATTGCTCCTAGGGGTCGGGCGATGGTGTCCCCATGCACAGATTTCCACAGGACCCGCAGTTTGTGCTAAATGGGTTATGTTTGTGAGTCTTGGTTTGGCGTTGTGGAAGCCTGAAGCGATATCTTACTTGTGTTCAGATCGCTTCACGGAAGTTAAAGAATCAAAACTACTTACTAATTCTAGTAAAATATGCATATGATTGATGACCATAAAAATTTTCTATGACACAACTTGTAACATAGCGATTTCTTCCTCGAAGTGAGGTTGTGGTCGAAGTAACAATAATATTGTAAGTAGTATTATATTGACACCCACCTCGCTGCCACGAGAGAAATTGTTATGATATCGCTATGTCATGCAAAATCCTATTGGCCATCAATAAAATACATATTTTACTACCAGTAGAAAGTAGTTTTGATTTTGTAACTTCGGTGAAAACAAACCTAAAATACCATTTATCCTCAGACTGGCGGATGTTCCCGACAGAGCGCCGCCATTTTAAAAATAAAAAATCTGTTAGAATTAATGAGATTATAGTTTGTTTTCATCAAGTTAGAAAATCAAGACTACTTTCTACTCGTCGTTTATTAAATATGTATTGGAATCATAACCAAACAGATTTTGCATGACACAACTTATAACAACGATTTCTTCCCGCGAGGCGAGGTGGGGGTCGAAGTCACATTACTGCTTGCGACAAATTCCTTCTACATTCCCATGGTTAATGTCCATCACCAATGCGTGTATGTAGATACTAGTCAATGTCGTCTGTATATTTGGTCTTATAATCCTAATTAGTTTATTATCATACTTGTATGCATTTTGAAACTAAATAAAAGCAGACGATCTGCTGATACTTATAGTGATTTTATAACAGAACTGTAATATCTAGACATTTTATAGTTTGCCAATGTGAATCATAATTCGCGACACACACACCTAGTGCATGTTGTCTGTCTCATTACACTTCACGGGCGAAAACAATGATTCTGTTGAATGCTCACGACAAATGAATACAAACAAAATGCAAATATTAAAATTAAAACAGATTAAAGTTATAGGAACAATATCAGGCCATTACCTTGTTCGAGGAATGTATCCATCAATATCCACAAAACTGTTCCAAATGATGTGTCTTTTAACAGTTTAATATACGAAAAAGTGATAAATCTTTTCAGGTATTGGTGTATAGTCTCATTGGTCACCCAAGATAGCACACCTGGCAACTAATTGCATAATGTCCGCCTTTCTTTAAAACAGTAATTTAGTTAGCCAATAATGGGCAATCAATCAATGTATTGCCGGTTAATCCTTTGAAAGAAGGGCGTTGTTTTACGCGAACACCGACCACGACAGAGTGTATTCAGTATAGATTAGTAAATCTACATACATAAACACTACCTTTTGACAATTCCGGTGTGTAAGATAAAAGTAATTAATCAATCAGCGTGTTATCGGTTAATCCTTTGATCGATGTTTATAATGTTGAATATTTACTCCAGACACAAGAAATGCCAAATGGGAACCTTTGTCGGGTAATCTAAGTGTGTTACCACTAATTATACCTGTTATAAATTCATTAACTGACCATCAAGTGAATGATGACAAATAACGTGTAGGTTTATACCACCTAACACGGGTTACAACAAGGGAGTATTAATTGCTGTATTGCATGTGAAAACTTATGGGCCGACACTGTTTTGAGAATACAAACAGATTTTTACAAAACATGATTAATTATCGAGGTAAAAAAACACAGAAATGGGATCAATTTGGATCAGTCATTATACAAATAGGGCCCTGACACCAATCGATTTTGACAGAATCGTCTATGAAAACAAGTTGTAACTTCGGAAACTAGGCAAAGCAGGAGACAAAATTAAATGACAGTAGATTGTGAGAACATACAGCTTTAATTTTCCACAACAATTGTCACGATTTCAGGTTTATACAAGCCTGTAAACAAGTTAATTTAACCCCTAAAATGTAGATGAATTCTGCATCGTCCCTCAAAGCTATTCCTCATATGACGTCACAGAGGCGCGCCGCTCTGATTGGTTGAAATTTCGTTCGCGGGTTAGAATTGTGCACTGTTGTCAAAAAGGTCGATTTAAGTCAATTAAAGGTCGAAATGAGTAGTTTTAATGACGGGGTTTCATTTATAACGATGCCAGTCAGTGATTTATGTATTTGTACCCCCTAGGGTTTATGTGACCTTTAAGATTTTCATAAACATTACTTGTTGAAAGTCAATACATATGTAGTTATACTAAGTATCATAACAAGAGTAAATGTATGAATATATTCAGAGATGCCAACCCATACGATTTGTTACGAAAAAAACCCACAAAATACACGACTATGATAGCAGTAAAAATTACAATTTAAAAAAACCAAACATTAACTTAAATTATCAAATAGCATACGTACCATAGACAAAAAAATTCAACCACATTTTATTCAGTATCAAACATATAAAGTCCAATTTCAAAGCTCGGAAATCGTTTTGAAAATCAATTAACTTTACATGGAAACCGGAGGTAAACAACGCCAGTGGGATGTCAGAGTTACGTCCCTTTGCGGAAACTTGTCTTAGGAAGTTATCATTGCTCTTGCGAAGCGACAAAATGGCGAATTGTCAGGCAGACGATCTTTATCTCTCACTTTCTTTCAAATTGATAGTCACTATGGAACCATCAAAACCTCAAGTTGATCGGCATTGATCACAGGAATTCCTTCCTAGCCTGCAGTACAACGTTTCCACTCATTGAAAAATCTCCAGTTAATGAAAACCATGCATTTTGTCGTGTGTGCAAATGTGATTTTTCCGTCGGTGCTGATGACTGGCGGCGCTGATGACTGTAAACAGCATGTGATTTCAAAGAAACAGAAGATTAACTTTTTATTACAAGGGAATATGAAACTTGTTCCTTCTTATTTGTCTCCTAAACCAAGTGAAAATGACAATGGCAATGATGTTAAATATGAAAATTGTTTGGAAAGTTTGTACTGATTTTGGCCAAAAATACAAATTTTTGCATCAGTTTTTGGCCAGAATACTAATTGGGCTAGATTAGGGCTGGCATCTCTGTATATTGGAGAAAATCATGGATTTGCTGCTCAGATACGATGCCTTTACGTTTGATGATTTGATAACTGTTCCATAGGTATTTGCAGGTGATCTGTCCTTATCTGATTTCTGTATCTCTAAAAACAAAGTTAAATGAGTAACCTTGGTAACGGTTATGTTTCAGGTTTGATGACTATTACCGTGATCCATATCGGTCACGATATCCTGACAGTCCACATGATAGACTCGGATACCCACCTGACAGATACCCAGAAGTAAGGGAACGTTACACATATCCAGACCGACCTGTGGTACCAGCAGAAACTATAGACTATGGACATAAACAGGTTGGAGATTCTAAAGGTAAGGTGGCAGAATTTGGATTTGGTCGGAACACTTCACTGCACTTGTACACTTTCTCTCTCACTCACTCTCTCAACTACTTCTTATCTGTAATACCTATTCATTGATTGACTCACCCACTTCTTTCTTTGATAGATAATCAGATTGACTCACCCATAACGTTGTTTGATAGTTATTCAGATTGACTCGCCCATAACGTTGTTTGATAGTTATTCAGATTAACCGCCCTTAACGTTGTTTGATAGTTATTCAGATTGACTCTCCCATAACGTTGTTTGATAGTTATTCAGATTGACTCGCCATTAACGTTGTTTGATAGTTGTTCAGATTGACTCGCCCACAACGTTGTTTGATAGTTGGGGCAGTAGGGTAGCCTAGTTTTGTAAGTGTACGCTCGTCGCGTTGAAGATCTGTGTCACCACATGGGTACAATGTGTGAAGGCCATTTCTGGTGTCCCCCGACGTTGTGCCATTGCAGAAATATTGCTAATGGCTGCGTAAAACTAGACTCACTCACTCACTCACTCACTTTGATAGTTATGCAGATATTTTGATAATTGTTCATGGACTGAATCATCTATTAGCTCCTTTTATAGTTATTCATGCAATCAACAGATTCAAGGGATTTCCCTGAATATGTTAGGGTATATATGAAGTTGATTTTCCATAAGGAGCTTTATTTACATCAGTTTTGCTTCTAAAATGCATTTTCATCCTTCTAAAAATGCATGTTCATAATTTATGGAGTGTGTGTGTGTGTGTGTGTGTGTGTTGGGGTTTTTTTTGGATAATTTTAAGAGGGGGGTCGCCCATTTTGTTCTGGGGAGCTAGGGGGGTCATCACACTAACTAGTGGGGGGGGTTTCCAGCAATTTTGTACATGCTTAGAAATTATGGGAAGGAGGGGGGGGGCATTGATTTTGTACAAGACAAGCAGGGGGGTCACTTATTTTGTACATACATTTTAGGGGGTGTCATTCACATTGTACATGCTTCTCCATAAAAATCATCATCAACCCTTCCCCCCCCCTCATTTCTATGAAATATATTTATGTCATTATATTATATGTATTGATATTTAACATCCTCATCCTTTCCTTCAGAAGACTCCCCAGGCCCAGCTCAACCTTACCAGGCTCCAGCTGTTATAGACTCACGGACATGGACGTGGGCCGTCTGAGGAATTGTCCGACTCACGCTCGTCAGACAAAAGCAGGGAGTCTAGGGGTGAGGCCTGTATTGTGTATGGTGCATGAGATACTTGTAGTACTTAGTGGAGGACAGACTTGGGTGATATACAGCATCAAGTAGGCAGGGCATGAAAATGAATCTTTTGTCGTTATCCTGACTCATATTTATTTGCTTCTCACTCCTATTGCCAGAGACAACCTTTGTGTCTATGTTCCCCAGAACACTAAAAACATCTCACCCGAACGCGTCTGCTCCTGCAAATGCACACCAGCAAACCTGTGACAGTACTGTGACTCGTCACTCTCAGCATTTTCGCCCAACGGGAAAATTGGGTGGAAAATTCTCTGATGTCCAGTCCAAGCTAATCCTCGTTTATAACAAATCATCTATCGAAATTAGTGCTTGGATTAGCTTTATAAACCCTTCAGGCATCCTATCAAGCGATTATTTTTCAAAATTTGTAGTTCATTAACTTTGTTTTCAGGCTTTGTAATCAGCCTTGTGAGTCACATGAAAACATGCTCTGTTTGTATATTCAGGCATGAAAATGAATGTTTGTTGTCCATGGGAGACGCCCATAGAGTTTTGAGGGAAGAGTATTATCATGCTTGACAATATTTGGCTCTCAAGTGACAATATGTGGCTACAGTGTGACCAAACTGATCATTTATCGTCATGTCCAGATGCCCTAGATTGTTCTCAAGGTATCAAACTCTGTTTTTGCTGACATCCATGGTGTAGTATATTGTACTGCACAGCTCATTGCTACAATAATTTAAATTCAGTCACTAGAATGATACAAGTCTAGGCGAAAGTGAAAATGAATCATTTCTTCGGTATATTTAACTGTTGTTCACTGGAACAGTTTCTTTTAAAATGTCTATTAAACTGTATGTATTGAAATGTTCAACATTTTCTCATCAGTGTGTTTGCTCCTGTCATCAATATGTTTAATGCATCTTTCAGAATTTGATGCATTTGCTCGAGGAGATCGGGGCAGTTCTGAGAGAGATCGATATGAACGAGATCGAGATCGAGACAGAGACAGAGATAGGGATAGGGAGAGAGATCGAGATAGAGAAAGAGAACGAGAACGAGAACGAGATCGAGAACGAAATCGAGAAAGAGATCGTGACCGAGATCGTGACCGAGTCCGTTTCCGTCCGGATGATAAAGAGCAGTAAGTGCCTGTGCTTGTGCCTGTCTAAATACAGAAATTACTTTGTTTGTGTTATTAGACACTTCCTTAGTTGCATTTTGATCTTTCACTAATGTAATAATCTCCTAAACTTGAGTATAGAATGTCTCATTTGTCCGTCTTCTTAAGATGAAATCTTTTGGAGATGTGATACCTTCCTGCATGACAAACCCTCTATAAGAGATTGCTTCTGTTGAAGCGTGAATGAACTCAACCTGCTTCAATGAAAGAGGCATTGACCAGTCCAATATCACCCTTTAGAAATGATTTGGTATCATTACTTTCCATTTGGAAATTATGATCTTAACAAAAGAAAATCTATATGAAAAGCAGATGTTCACTCTTGCCCGACGTCCGAGTCCAGTGTTTTTTTCTTTCGGGGAAGCAAATTTGTATATCACACTGTACCGGTGTCCAGTTGACTTTCCAATGTTAATTATGTTGTTTATTTAAAAAATCAGCAAGAAAACGGTCGGTATAGTGGAAAAATTATCAGGGCAAGTGACTTTACATGTGCCACTGTACAGGAGTACACTATCAATTTTAAAGTTATTTCCACCCCTGAACATACTTGTTCAAGTTTTCAGATAGCTAGGTAGACAGTAGCAATTGTCTCCCTTAGTTAATCCCATCACTGAAGTCCATCTGTCATGTTACCATGCTTGCACTGCATGCAAATATCCACTGATGAATCACACGTAACAGTTAATTGTATGATATGTATGGTATGTACCAGGATATCCAGTCAGTGATTTCCCCCAAAAGTCTGGGTCTTTTAAAAATATTAGTCTGGCAAATACAGTTGATTGAAATCCATTGTCACTCAATTCAACTGAAAATTAAGTGTAGTGGTAACGTCAGGCATGTAGAATGCCCATACTTGAGAAATCCTTTGATCTTTGTAGTGATACATAACAATGGTAATGTATATAGTTTTATTGAACGTTCTCCATGTTCCATGTGACCAGGCTGGCGAGGGAACATTGTAATTTGTGTTCAGCTTCATCTTTGGGTGATGTTGTCTTGTTTCAATATGATATTATTTATTAAGCAGGTAGTATTGTCATGTATTGTATCATCAGGATATACTCAGGCTTCACCAATAGGAGTAGTGCCACCCCATAACCAAATGCTCTGTTTAACCAAATGCCTGTCAGTGTTGATCAAGTGCATGCAACCATTTGTATCTGAAACCCTTGTAATATCACCCTGGGATGACCATTGTCGACCATCTTTCTGACCTGGACGATCTTTCTGACCTGAGCTATTCAACCAAATCCTGGTGATGGCAACAACAATCTTGATGTGAGGACACATTGACTGTGAGCTGTGCTCACTTTTAGCCTCCATTTCAGAGATTCCTATGGACGGTCCCCTCAGGAAGCTAAGCCTGTGTATCAGCCTAAGATAGAAACAGCCAAGGTGGAGGACTTGCTGTGCTCCCCGGGACGAAAGTCACGCCCGCCACAGATCGTCATCATTCTCCGAGGATTGCCTGGCAGCGGGAAGACCTACGTCAGCAAACTCATCCGAGTAAGTGTTGTGGCAGTCTGTACAATGAGCACCTGACGTCTCTTGCTGAAGTTGTTCTAAAGGTTTTAGTAATTCACCCTTTGCAGGTAAATTGTAAATAATAATCGTCAGTTGGTGGGAGAAGAAACAAAGTTACGGTAAGAATGGTTTGTTCTTTAAAGCATTTGAATGTTGCTGTGTGGACATTGTTAAGCTGTTCAAACTGATCTTGAAGTTTCATGTGTTGTTTCAACTTTGGTAGGTTTAGTACTCTTCAGGAGAAATCAGCACCTTCATGTATTTTTAAGGGGGAAGATCTGAAACCTATTAGAAAGGTTTGAAAAATAGTGTCATGCTTGGAATAACTGATTGATGACAACCATTCTGATTTCACATAGGTTTTTATATGATGTAAGGTGAAAAAGTAGCAATGAATACTAGAGACCAAAAAAAAGTTCTTTATGTGATTGTTTTTGTATTGTATGTGATGTGTGATGTGATCATGGTTAAACACGTATATGATATGTGATATGTAATCATGGTGACATACGATGTGATCATGGTGACATATGATGTGTGATCATGGTGATATGTGTGATCATGGTGATTTATGATGTGATCATGGTGATATATGATGTGTGATCATGGTGATATGTGTGATGTGATCTAAGTGATATGTGTGATATAGTCATGGTGATATGTATGATGTGATCATGGTGATATGTGTGATGTAGTCATGGTGATATGTGTGATGTGATCCTTGTGATATGTGTGATGTGATGCAAGTGATATGTGTGATGTAGTCATGGTGATATGTGTGATGTGATCCTTGTTATATGTGTGATGTGATGCAAGTGATATGTGTGATATAGTCATGGTGATATGTGTGATGTGTTGCAAGTGATGTGTGATGTGATTCCAGTGATATATGTGATATGGTCATGGTGATATGTGTGATGTGATCCCAGTGATATATGTGATATGGTCATGGTGATATGTGTGATATAGTCATGGTGATATGTGTGATATAGTCATGGTGATATGTGTGATATAGTCATGGTGATATGTGTGATATAGTCATGGTGATATGTGTGATATAGTCAAGGTGATATATGTGATGTAGTCATGGTGATATGTGTGATGTGATCCCAGTGATATGTGTGATATAGTCAAGGTGATATGTGTGATATAGTCATGGTGATATGTGTGATATAGTCATGGTGATATGTGTGATATAGTCAAGGTGATATGTGTGATATAGTCATGGTGATATGTGTGATATAGTCATGGTGATATGTGTGATATAGTCAAGGTGATATGTGTGATATAGTCATGGTGATATGTGTGATATAGTCATGGTGATATGTGTGATATAGTCATGGTGATATGTGTGATATAGTCATGGTGATATGTGTGATATAGTCAAGGTGATATGTGTGATAAAGTCATGGTGATATGTGTGATATAGTCATGGTGATATGTGTGATATAGTCAAGGTGATATGTGTGATATAGTCATGGTGATATGTGTGATATAGTCATGGTGATATGTGTGATATAGTCAAGGTGATATGTGTGATATAGTCATGGTGATATGTGTGATATAGTCATGGTGATATGTGTGATATGGTCAAGGTGATATGTGTGATATAGTCATGGTGATATGTGTGATATAGTCAAGGTGATATGTGTGATATAGTCATGGTGATATGTGTGATATAGTCATGGTGATATATGTGATGTAGTCATGGTGATATGTGTGATGTGATCCCAGTGATATGTGTGATATAGTCATGGTGATATGTGTGATATAGTCATGGTGATATGTGTGATATAGTCATGGTGATATGTGTGATATAGTCAAGGTGATATGTGTGATATAGTCATGGTGATATGTGTGATATAGTCATGGTGATATGTGTGATATAGTCAAGGTGATATGTGTGATATAGTCATGGTGATATGTGTGATATAGTCATGGTGATATGTGTGATATAGTCAAGGTGATATGTGTGATATAGTCATGGTGATATGTGTGATATAGTCATGGTGATATGTGTGATGTAGTCATGGTGATATGTGTGATGTGATCCCAGTGATATGTGTGATATAGTCATGGTGATATGTGTGATATAGTCATGGTGATATGTGTGATATAGTCATGGTGATATGTGTGATATAGTCATGGTGATATGTGTGATATAGTCAAGGTGATATGTGTGATATAGTCATGGTGATATGTGTGATGTAGTCATGGTGATATGTGTGATATAGTCATGGTGATATGTGTGATGTAGTCATGGTGATATGTGTGATGTGATGCAAGTGATATGTGTGATATAGTCATGGTGATATGTGTGATATAGTCATGGTGATATGGTTGATGTAGTCATGGTGATATGTGTGATGTGATCCCAGTGATATGTGTGATATGGTCATGGTGATATGTGTGATATAGTCATGGTGATATGTGTGATATAGTCAAGGTGATATGTGTGATATAGTCATGGTGATATGTATGATGTGATCCTGGTGATATGTGTGATATAGTCATGGTGATATGTGTAATATAGTCATGGGGATATGTGTGATATGGCCATGGTGATATGTGTGATGTGATCCCAGTGATATGTGTGATATGGTCATGGTGATATGTGTGATATAGTCATGGTGATATGTGTGATGTAGTCATGGTGATATGTGTGATGTGATCCCAGTGATATGTGTGATATAGTCATGGTGATATGTGTGATATAGTCATGGTGATATGTGTGATATGGTCATGGTGATATGTGTGATGTAGTCATGGTGATATGTGTGCTGTGATCCCAGTGATATGTGTGATATGGTCATGGTGATATGTGTGATATAGTCATGGTGATATGTGTGATATAGTCATGGTGATATGTTTGATATAATGGTGATATGTGTGATATAATGGTGATATGTAACATAATGGTGATATGTGTGATATGGCCATGGTGATATGTGTGATGTGATCCCAGTGATATGTGTGATATGGTCATGGTGATATGTGTGATATAGTCAAGGTGATATGTGTGATATAGTCATGGTGATATGTGTGATATAATGGTGATATGTGTGATATAATGGTGACATGTGTGATGTGATCATAGTGATATGTGTGGTGTGATCCCAGTGATATGTGTGATATGGCCATGGTGATATGTGTGATATGGTCATGGTGATATGTGTGATATTGTCATGGTGATATGTGTGATATAGTCAAGGTGATATGTGTGATATAATGGTGATATGTGTGATATAATGGTGGCATGTGTGATGTGATCATAGTGATATGTGTGGTGTGATCCCAGTGATATGTGTGATATGGCCATGGTGATATGTGTGATATGGTCATGGTGATATGTGTGATATTGTCATGGTGATATGTGTGATATAGTCAAGGTGATATGTGTGATATAGTCATGGTGATATGTGTGATGTGATCCCAGTGATATGTGTGATATGGCCATGGTGATATGTGTGATATGGTCATGGTGATATGTGTGATATAGTCATGGTGATATGTGTGATATAGTCAAGGTGATATGTGTGATTAGTCATGGTGATATGTGTGATATAGCCAAGGTGATATGTGTGATATAGTCAAGGTGATATGTGTGATATAGTCAAGGTTATATGTGTGATATAGTCATGGTGATATGTGTGATATAGTCAAGGTTATATGTGTGATATAGTCATGGTGATATGTGTGATATAGTCATGGTGATATGTGTGATATAGTCAAGGTGATATGTGTGATATAGTCATGGTGATATGTGTGATATAGTCATGGTGATATGTGTGATATAGTCAAGGTTATATGTGTGATATAGTCATGGTGATATGTGTGATATAGCCAAGGTGATATGTGTGATATAGTCAAGGTGATATGTGTGTAGGACAAGGAGCTGGCTAATGGAGGCAGTGCCCCTCGGATGTTGTGTCTGGACGACTACTTCATGGTGGAGGCTGAGAAGAAGGAGAAGGATGCAGAGACGGGGAAGATGGTTACAAGGAAGGTAACTCAAATTATGCTGAACTATATTGAAGGGACAACTTCTGATATTTTCACTAGTAGCTGATGTGCAGGGTTGCTTAACTTTCTATTAATTCTAATGCCAGGATCTGTTGGATTTGAACCCCAAATTTGCTTATTCAGAATAATTGGTCTGTGAGAACTTTGCATTTTCAAATATTTTGCATTCTTTGTCATATCACTCCACATGCAGCTAACTTGCTGTTATGTAATGCATGTACTGTTCAAGCTGGCATTTGACCCTTGGAGATCCGGGTTTGAATTGATCTTAAGTAACCCATGCTTGTCCTAAGAGCAGTTGACTAACGGGATCGGGTGGTCAGGCTTGCTGACTTGGTTTGACACATGTCATCGTATCCCAATTGTGTAGATTGATAGATTGATTGGGGTGATAGCCATTTGGTTCTTTTGCTTTAATTCCCATCATGAGTGCCATGTGTGAAACCCATACTTTGTGTCTCCTGCTTAAAACCACTTGAATTTGCTAAATGCATGTTTTGAGAGACTTGGGTGAGAGTTTTTATAATATATTTGGCCTGAAACTTAAACTGTTGTATTTACATAAATATACCCCTCCTGTGTAACTTTGTGATGAGCATCATGATGTCACAGTATTATTGTGAGTACCAGACAGTGCTGTGCCACGGTCCAGTTAAGTGTTCCCTGAATGTAAGTGTTCCCTGAATGTAAGTGTTCCCAGAATGTAAGAGATCCCTGAATGTAAGAGTTCCCTGAATGTAAGAGCTCCCTGAATGTAAGTGTTCCCTGAATGTAAGAGTTCCCTGAATGTGAAAAGTGTTCCCTGAATGTAAGAGTTCCCTGAATGTAAGTAAGAATGTAAGTGTTCCCTGAATGTAAGAGTTCCCTGAATGTAAGAGTTCCCTGAATGTAAGTGTTCCCTGAATGTAAGAGTTCCCTGAATGTAAGAGTTCCCTGAATGTAAGAGTTCCCTGAATGTAAGAGTTCCCTGAATGTAAGAGCTCCCTGAATGCTCCCTGAATGTAAGAGTTCCCTGAATGTAAGTGTTCCCTGAATGTAAGAGTTCCCTGAATGTAAGAGCTCCCTGAATGTAAGTGTTCTCTGAATGTAAGAGTTCCCTGAATGTAAGAGTTCCCTGAATGTAAGAGCTCCCTGAATGTAAGTGTCCATGTTGCAGGTGCTGGAGTATGAGTACGAGGCGGAGATGGAGAGTGCCTACAGAGACAACCTGCTCAAGTCATTCAAGAAGACGATAGACAATGGCTTCTTCCCCTTCATTATTGTCGATGCTGTCAATGAGAAAGTCAAGCATTTTGAAGAATTCTGGAGTTATGCCAAATCTAAGGGATTCCAGGTATTCTACACTACCTCACCAGCCTGTCTAGGGTATATAGCATAGTGACTGGTAAATTACGTCTAGGAGCACTGAATTCTAGGGATGTGGGTCTCTTTGTCTGGTGGAAATAGGAAGCCCTTTACATCCTTATCATGACCTGGGGACAAATAATAATCATATACTACTCCACTTTTGAAAGGAATGGTTTGTATCTTTCCGTGATACAGAAAAACCATTCTCATAATATGTCAAATGTATGTTTATATGTATGTCATATCTGATTATCCCAGCCAAGAGTTGAGTTGTACAGTGGAACCTGTCTAAACCGGCACCCCACAGGACCGAAATAAAATGCAGGTTTAGACAGGGTGCCGGATTAGACTGTGACAATAATTTTCCAACATGGCTGCCATTTACACTCGTCATTCTCTCAATCTAGCGTCCGAGAGGAGTGTATTGGATTAAGGTACCTTGATTGGACTGCTCATACCCATGCCGGCTTAGAGCGTTTGATTCATCGCACAATCACTACTTCCTGATTATCTAGCGTGCCAAGAGGATTAATTAGTGTATTGGATTATGGGTCCTTGATTGGACTGCTCATACCCATATCAGTTTAGACAGTGTTAATTACAGTTAAAATTGCTTGTTGGGAGCGGAAAGTCATGCCGGAATACGGAATAGACAGGTGCCAGATTAGACAATCTTTTAATGATCATAATATCGGTGTAAAATGGCGGGACCAAAATTCTATGCCGGTTTTGAAAGTGTGCCGGATTAGACAGGTGCCAGTGTTGGCAGGTTTCACTGTATATCTGTAAAGTGTAAAAACCTGGAGAGATTCTTTTATCGGTCATTGTCAAACTGTGTCCGAAGTGATATGATTTAAGAGCATGACAAACTCAGACACCCCTGTCAGGGCTGTTGTTTTAGTAGTTCTGTGTTAGATATGAACCCAGCAGTTGTAACTCCACTCACTAGTGTCCTGTTTACAATGCAGGTGTACATTGCCAGCGTTCAGGCTGATGTGAACACCTGTGCCAAGAGGAACACCCACAAGTTTAAGTTGACGGACATAGAGAAGGTAAGAGTCAACCAGGTCCCATTACACAGTCATTCTTAACCATTATCGGATGTTATGGAAGCATGATGGAATTTCGGTATATTACTATTATTCTATGTTCCAAATGAATTTACCTTACACATCTTTACTATGTTTACTTAAATTGTAAAATTTAAATGCATCCAAATTATTTTATGTGACTATCAGGTGACTATTGTGTGATTATTGTGTAAACAGATCCAGAAGAAATGGGATGAAACGCCCCGACACTTCCTCCATCTCGACATCCGCTGGCTGCTACAGGAAGACTCCATACAGGAGGTCAGTGTAGGGAGGGGTGTGTGGATGGGGGTGTATATGTGTGGGTGAGTTGGAAGCAGACAGACAGGCACATGTGTAGGGTGAGTGTTGGGGTTTGGTGGGGTGTGTCGATGGGGTGTATATGTGTGGGTGAGTTGGGAGCAGACAGACAGGACAGACTGGCACATGTGTAGGGTGAGTGTTGGGGTTTGGTGGGGTGTGCACAAGTGTCAGTGTTCGCGTTCACTCTTGGTGTTCTTGGAGGGCTCTATTTGTAGTCATGCAATGAGATGAGTTTCTGGGATCACCATGGAAAGTTGACATGTTAGTTATGCTACAAGGGACACAAAAAGTATAGTCAGTTATTCCATATTCACGATAACCTAGAGAAATCGTAAAACCACCCTAAAAAACTAACTGACCTTTGTACAGGATTTGTTATGAATAGGGCTGTGCAATAATACCGGTATATACCGGTACAGTATCTTGCGATACGATTATCGCAATATGGTTCAGATTCTGCAATATATTGGGTCATCCAGAGTTAGCTCCCTTTGAATCATCTGCCAGTCATTTCCATAGCAACAAAATGTGCTTTAAAAGTGCCAAATGCACTTTTATTTCTGTTGGTAACATTTTACAAATGGATGTATCTTGGAAGTGGCTCCAAAACTGCCAAATATTCTACCAAGTTTTGTGGGTTTCAGTGGTTTCATATGTGACATTTTGGAGGAATTAAGTGGCCTCAAATGGACCAGTTTTGGAGCCTCTGGCTCTGAGTGACCATTTCACAATTCACATAATTTTGTTATTTTGTTTGTTTCATAATAGGACAAATGTTATCAATTTATCATTAAGACCTAACTCTTATCAATTTTGTAGGACTGTATAATGACATTCCAGTCAAGGATCTTAGCATTGGAGGTCACATGAGATTTTAAGCTCAAGCAGTTCACCTAAATCATGTATTTGTTTCATTTTGCAAAAGTTCATGTCAACACAGCCATGTATATATTGAAGTTGAATCTGAGTGAATCACTGACATACAGTAACAATAATTACACCCTGCATTGAAGTGCATTCTGTTGACGCAAACAACACTGACTATGAAAATCATGTTATACTGTTACCTTCATCATTATGTTCGCAAATCTTTATTGCATTCCACATTAATTAGGCTCTATATCATTTTATTTATCTGTAAACCACTGGCATACAGACATACACAATGGGGACGGGGAGCCTGAAAGTATGGTGTAACAGCAACTAAGAAAATGATGTCGTACACAGAGAGCTATACTCTTGAAAAAAAATGTAGGGGAACTTCACTTTAATGTACAATTGAAAAAATTGTGAGTTAAATCGGATACATAAATAATCAATGCTTAGAGAGAGCGCATCACCACTTGCACTTCCTTATGATGATAATTGTTTGTACAGTAATCGCTCTTGAAAGATGATTGGTGTATGACATGAAATTTGCATATGTACGCTTTGCATTTTCAAACAAAAAGAAAAAATAGGCTAGAAACAAACACGACCAACTGTGTGATGCAAGATGATTCTCAAAATTAATGGTCTACAGTGATTTATCGACCATCTTGAAAACTGTCAAAAGAATGACACTGAACGCACGTGTATGGGGGCTACTGCGTTGTGGACGTGCATCCCATGCATTTTGTTTAGGGGTGGTGATAAAAAGAAATGGTGGTATGTACATAAGATGTCTGGCTTTGAAACGTTTGTTAACGCTTAAATACTTCTTATCCAAATTGAAAGTTCAGGTTCCCCTACATTTTTTAAAGAGTTTATTATGAATTAATAATTTATGCGTTCTCTTAAATTATTGCAATATATCGCAATATCAAAATCAGGGCAATATTATGAATGCCCTGATGGAGTTTGAAAATGGAAAACGTGTTACAATTTGTTACAGAGTTATGGCCCTTGTCATGTGTTTCTTGACTTAGTGCATAGTATTCCCAATGGGGACAGATTTTCTCAGTAGCCGTTATAGATAGGAAAACCAAATTTGATATGTGTTTTCAGGACATGAATGCGTTGATGGAGGTCGAAAATGGAAGCCATGTAACAATTTGTTATATAATTATGGCCCTTGTTATGCGTTTCTTGGCTTAGTGCATCGTATCCCCAATGGGGACAGATTTTCTGAGTAACTGTTATAGAACAGAAACCATGTGTGGTTTGTGTTTTCAGGATATGGATGCAGCGTTTGAAATAGATACTGGCCTGCTAGCAAAATGCTAGCTGACTGTAAATCGGGCCAGTAATATATTGTTAAAGCTATCCTGACTGGCAAGCTGAAAATCTCAGATACTTTGTTCTTTATTGATGCACAAGCTTACCTTTCACACAAGACGTGAGCTGCACATTACAGCAGTGTTTTCTCAAACCTGTATTTAAGGGCTACAGAAATCTTAGTTATGGGTGTGTTTGATTTATATTGTTTCCAAGAAGGGGCGACGATAACTTACCATCTTCAATTACCAAATATCACACCAATTCTCACCGGTGGGCATTTTGACATTGATATTGTGCAGGGACAGCGAAGTATGATGTGGGCTAGCAAAATCTTAACTGAACTAGCCCTCCTGGCCAGTGACTTTTAAAAATTAATTTCTACACTGCATGAATGTCATGCTGTAGTTAAACAACGGAGCCGTGGCTTGGGGGATATTGATGACCGTGTCGTCTTCTTGTTCTTATCACTGTTGGTGTGACCGCCTCCGTGGTGTAGTGGTTAGAGCGTCCGCCCCGGAGAGCCGGAAGGTCGCAGGTTTGATCCCCGACCGCGTCATACCAAAAGACGTTAAAATATGGTACTTGTTGGTCCCTGCCTGGCGCTCGGCATTAATGGGTACATCAAGGACTGGTCGGCTCGGAGTCAGTATACTGTGTCTGAGTGGGATATTCGTGCTTCACTGCGGCATAGTATCTCACTGGGCTAGCACTATAAAACCAGCTTGAGTCTGGGCTAGTACAAGCAGCCGCACATACACATTCACATACACACGCATGCACATCGTCATATGAGCGAAATATTCTCCAGCACGACGTTAAACCCAATTTCACCTCACCTCACTGTTGGTGTTTGACATCACACTGTCCTCCTCAGGTGGAGATGGAGGACCTCCCAGTGGCAGACAGTGCTGAGGACAAGGACAGCAAATCTGCCGGGAAGAAAGGGAAGTCAGATAGGAAACATAACAATGACGATGATGACGATGTTGACGTGGAGCTTCATGGCTTCGGTGGGGTAAGTAGGCAGGCCCTCTCACTGACTTCCACTGAGATTCCTTATGTTGTGTTGTACATGTGCTATGTGACTTTGATGACATTGAAGTTGCCTTTCAGTCGCTGGTGTCACCTAAGGTAGGTGCTTGAGAACTCCTTCCTTTGTCTAGTGTCCTCATGAGTTGGACAATGTCAAATCTGAACTCAAGAGTTACTATCCCATGTTACTTCAAACTAAACTAATAACACATATTTGCTGCCAACAAAGAAAATGGAAACAAATCAGTGGTAAGAAGGGTGCACTCATCATGTACGTCTTCTGATTTTACCCTAAAGCAAAACAGTTCTAAAATAAATCAAAGTACACAATGTGGTGTTACGTTAATAAGGTTCACACATTTGCAAAATGCACCGTGCACTATAATATTAGAAATGAACAATAAACAGTCAGCTTTGCTATAATATAGATTTTTAATTACATTCAGTTTCTAGTCTGGATATTGATTATATGACACATGTCATTTTCTTACCTACGTAGCACCTGTCATAAATATACAACAGGAGTGATATGTTCCATTCCTCGGTGTGACATGGCTGATACAGAGATTTACACAGTCATGTTTCAATAATTGTTTCAGTAATGCATGGTCACACGAATAAACTAATATATTTCACTGTGACATGCTGTAACAACTAGTAGACAGCTGTCCAACATTATGTGTATGTCAATCCTGTTGACAGTATTCCCTGTGTTTTGAAAAATACAAATGTATGACAATACACCGAGACACGTTGACGCGAACCGAATGTTTTTTTACACGATGAAGATATTGCATCATTGTGGTAAGTACACAATAATAGATACTAGTAAAATGAGTGGTGGTGGAGTCGGTTAAACATGCAGTAGCATTTATAAACGTGAACATGTTTTGCTATATACATATACAGTGGTATGAAGTAATCGTGGCATTAATATATCCAATATGTTACATGTTCCTTTAGATAATACATCACCTGGTGCAATGCACTGAAGTGTTGATGTAATAGCCTACTAGTTAAACACTCTTATAGTAAGATGTCAGCTGGCACTTGTCATGCTCATACTTATCAGACAAAAACTATCTTGCTTTCTGTCAGTTCACGAAGTTGCATTCAAGTAGTTGATTATAAAGGCACAATGTCACACCGCACTTCTCTAGAAAAATAATAATGCATTTCTGTCAATAAAACTAACTATTAGCCTTCAGGGAAGCTACTATATTATTTATTCCCAAAGAATTATGTATTTAGATTACAATATTAAATTAAAAGTTTGAATGAATTAATGCAACGTTGCATTAAATAGACTCTCACGCCTCTACTGGCTGAACATTACATTAAGCGAACCCCGTAGAGTTATGTCTTTACAAATATCCTACGCACAACTTGTGATTGAAACTAGTTCGGCAAACACCGACAACACCGCGTGCGACAGTTTTCGATGTACGGAGCAATTGTTTACATTCCATATATGGCAAGTGTTCTCTGTTTGGAAGCTGTCTGCCTTGAAGTTTCAATGATCAATTTCAGGCAAGTAAGGGATAATAAGTCTTTTATTGCATCAATAGGATGCTGAAGTGAGTGCATATGCCCCAATATATATAACATAGGCCAAAATATTGTCGAAAATGTGTACATTTTGCCTTTAATAATAATAAAACAGATTCCTTTTTCAAGTGATTGGAAAAGTCATGCTCAGGGCGCAGTTCTTGCATAATTTAAAAAAAAAAAGGCCTATAAAGTAAATTATCTGGCCTGCATGCACAGTAGTTTTCTGCCGTGTTTTAAATTTATATTGACGAACATCGCAGTAAAATTTAATCATCATGACTTATGAATCGTTTTGTTTCTTTCATTTAACACTTCTGTACTCATCCATACAAAGTAGTAAATGTTTTAGATCCTCCAGGAAGGTTCTGATCATGTGGAAGTTGACCTGATACATCATACAGTACTATTTGTAGTATTTCCATAAACACCCCTCCCCTCCCACCCACTCCACCCCTCCTGCATTAATGTGCGTTATTCCTAATATGGGGTGCAGGATGGTTGAAGACATATTTTCTTGTGTAATGTGCACACTTGAGTATACATGCAATTTTGTGCATTGTGCAGTCACGAACTACTTTGTATTGTGTTGGTGAACAAATGTGATATTACACGGTCAATAAGAAGTGTGAATTTTGTAATAAAACATCACTAGACATCTAAACTACATTCTTGTTATACAAGGCACTGTTCTACATTTAGAGATCAGGACCACCATTTGTATTTGTCTCATAAACTTATAGAATATTTAATCATGAATGTTTAAAATATAGAAACAGAACTGCTAATACAGTTAGCTGTACACACACCTTCTGGTCTATGGATCAGTGATTCAGTTAAAATGTACCCATAAATATTGCTTAAAAGCATTTTGAGTAAGTGATTGGTATAAATATATCAGAAACTATTATTTCACCATGAATGATTTATTGTTATTTTGTGTTGTTTAACTTCTAGTTTTATATATATATACCCATCAGTATAAGCAAGTCCGTGATGTCGTGAAGTGCGTTATCGCGAGAAACAACTGGGTTTCATTTATGACACGGTACAGTATATATAACACACACAATAGTAGAACACTTTAGTATATTGCCGGATAATTTATCTCGTATGAAACAGTTTGACGATCTGAGGTTTCCCATGGTCTTTCTATTTTACAAAAAAAGTGTGTTGCTATGTTATATGTGTTGATATGACACTTTAAATGGGTCAAGTAATGCATTATGGATATATGTAGCCATTTTCTGACAACTAAGGTTTGTATGTTCGAGTAAGTGGCAGTAATCTGACTGTGATTGCTGAAAATACCTTTGAGCTGGTGCGATCTGCCAATCACTTCACACAGGATTTTGCCATAATTAATACAGACAATATTGAATGAAAAATTAAAATACATTGCTTTTTAAGTCCAGATATAAAATGAACATTTTTTTCTTACCAGATTGTGTAAAAGATGTGTACATGAATAACTTGTACTTATTAGCACAGATTTGTTGATATTGGATTTCCGACGTGAAGATTTGTGTTCGTGGTCGTAACTACATTTTTCATGGGGGCCATTGGTTACCCATCAATATAAGCAAGTCCGCGATATCGTGAAGTGCGTTTTCGCGAGAAACAACTGGGTTTCATTTATAACACGGTACAGTGATATTTAGTGATCATCTGACGGTAGTGTTTGAAGTTCAAGATTAAGATTAAAAAGAATAAAATGTTTATTCAGGTTAACTTCACCTTAAAGTTGAATTACTTGCCCATGCTAATACTCAGTGGCTCGTAATCCTTGCTAAAAATTGTTTGTAAACATGGGGTCAAAGACTTATTAGGAAAATGCCTTTCCCAATTACAGACTTTCCTGAACTATTTTTTATATTTTTTTATTAGCATATTTTTTTCATAAGTAGAAATTACATGAATATGGATTGGCACAACAAGCCATTGGCTTATGTGAGTCCCGCTCCATTAAATATAACAAAATACAATCAATAATTAACTTCAAACAAAGAAAGGAAGCAATTAATTCCACAAAGGCAAGAGATGGATAATAATGGGAAAATATCTACAAAGTTATATTCAGTGGTTCATAGAAATTGCATACATAGGAGTTTAGAATAGTTTGAATCTATTTGAAAATAGTATGTATTTATGAACAGAGTAAAGAATAAGCTGATTAATTCTGTTGCTAGAAGTTTGATTACTATGAAGAACTGAATTCAAGTCAAAACCATTAGTATAGAAATATTTATCTGATCTTATTAAGTCATAACAGGGTCAGGAAAAGGAGTAATGGAGGGAATCTTCCCATGTACTTAACTTTCCTGTATTTCAACTGAGATACATGTGTATTAACTGTAATGATGGAATTGTCATTGATCAAGTCTGTCTATCATGTTACCACATGCAGTACTATCCCCATACTGTACATAATCTGCAACCTCTTCATCTCATTGCTGATCACCAGTGATTTTTTCATGTCGTGCATCATCAACAGCATTCAAAACTTGACTGTTTTATCTTTTGAAAGCATCTTTGACAAGGCAATACTTTTACAATGTTGAAATCTGTGAGAATTAGAACTGAAACATTGTTGACAAAGAAGCTGATATGTGTCAGAAACTTCACTGAAATATTGTTGACATTAGATTAATATGTTGACATGTGAACACATACATAGAAACAATGCATGTGAACACATACAGGGAAAAACTAGATCAGTATGTTGACAGGTGAATACTTACAGGGAAATAATAGATCAATATGTTGACATGTGAACACATACAGGGAAATAATAGATCAATATGTTGACATGTGAACACATACAGGGAAATAATAGATCAATATGTTGACATGTGAACACATACAGGGAAATAATAGATCAATATGTTGACATGTGAACACGTACAGTGAAATAATAGATCAATATGTTGACATGTGAACACATACAGGGAAATAATAGATCAATATGTTGACATGTGAACACATTACAGTGAAATAATAGATCAATATGTTGACATGTGAACGCATTACAGTGAAATAATAGATCAATATGTTGACATGTGAACACATATATGAAATAATAGATCAATATGTTGACATGTGAACACATACAGGGAAATAATAGATCAATATGTTGACATGTGAACACATACAGGGAAATAATAGATCAATATGTTGACATGTGAACACATACAGGGAAATAATAGATCAATATGTTGACATGTGAACACATACAGGAAATAATAGATCAATATGTGACATGACATGTGAACAATATACATGTGAAATAATAGATCAATATGTTGACATGTGAACACATTACAGGAAATAATAGATCAATATGTTGACATGTGAACACGTACAGTGAAATAATAGATCAATATGTTGACATGTGAACACGTACAGGGAAATAATAGATCAATATGTTGACATGTGAACACGTACAGTGAAATAATAGATCAATATGTTGACATGTGAACGCATACAGGAAATAATAGATCAATATGTTGACATGTGAACACTTACAGGGAAATAATAGATCAATATGTTGACATGTGAACACGTACAGTGAAATAATAGATCAATATGTTGACATGTGAACACATACAGGGAAATAATAGATCAATATGTTGACATGTGAACACTTACAGGGAAATAATAGATCAATATGTTGACATGTGAACACGTACAGTGAAATAATAGATCAATATGTTGACATGTGAACACGCATACAGGAAATAATAGATCAATATGTTGACATGTGAACACATACAGGAAATAATAGATCAATATGTTGACATGTGAACACATACAGGAAATAATAGATCAATATGTTGACATGTGAACACATACAGGAAATAATAGATCAATATGTTGACATGTGAACACATACAGGGAAATAATAGATCAATATGTTGACATGTGAACACATACAGGGAAATAATAGATCAATATGTTGACATGTGAACACTTACAGGGAAATAATAGATCAATATGTTGACATGTGAACACATACAGGGAAATAATAGATCAATATGTTGACATGTGAACACGTACAGTGAAATAATAGATCAATATGTTGACATGTGAACACTTACAGGGAAATAATAGATCAATATGTTGACATGTGAACACATACAGGGAAATAATAGATCAATATGTTGACATGTGAACACATACAGGGAAATAATAGATCAATATGTTGACATGTGAACACGCATACAGGGAAATAATAGATCAATATGTTGACATGTGAACACATACAGGGAAATAATAGATCAATATGTTGACATGTGAACACATACAGTGAAATAATAGATCAATATGTTGACATGTGAACACTTACAGGGAAATAATAGATCAATATGTTGACATGTGAACACATACAGGGAAATAATAGATCAATATGTTGACATGTGAACACGTACAGTGAAATAATAGATCAATATGTTGACATGTGAACACATACAGGGAAATAATAGATCAATATGTTGACATGTGAACACATACAGTGAAATAATAGATCAATATGTTGACATGTGAACACATACAGGGAAATAATAGATCAATATGTTGACATGTGAACACATACAGGGAAATAATAGATCAATATGTTGACATGTGAACACATACAGGGAAATAATAGATCAATATGTTGACATGTGAACACATACAGTGAAATAATAGATCAATATGTTGACATGTGAACACATACAGGGAAATAATAGATCAATATGTTGACATGTGAACACGTACAGTGAAATAATAGATCAATATGTTGACATGTGAACACTTACATGGAAACATTGTTGACAGTGGATTCATAAATGACTTTTGTGAAGCTACATGGAAACCATCCTTTTGGGACGCTAATCACCACTATCCTTACCTTTGCTGCTGTCACGTTTGTACAATGGCGTTGGCGTTCTTCATATACTTCTTTGAACTTATGTTAAGAAAAACCTAAATTTAACAAAATAATAAATTATTAAAGTACAAAGTCTGCTTTCATTTTTATCAACATAAACTGATGGGATGAAATGAATGTATGGCCAGTGTGGAGTCAACTACTGACCTTGGCTTGACCCATGTGACCTCTGTTAACCAGGAGTATTCTGTACGCTGCTGCATGAAGGTCTCGGAGCCTGGCCTTCAGTTAAGGCTGTCACAATAATATGTGTTGTAGTTCTGTGTTCTGTGACTGATGTTTCTATTTCAGGCTTTGTCTTCACAATAACCTGTTGGTTTCAGACTCATGTGCTTACTTCTATGAGGAATTTACTATGTTTCATCTCATTTCATACTCATATTTTATATTTTATATTGATTGCATATCTGAATAATGCATGTATCAAAGCAAGTGAAAAACTTGCTGTCTCCATGGTAACAGCCATGCTAGGGTCAGTTTTGCCTGTAGTATGGAAACTGGGAGTCAATATGACTCCCTCCCTTGAGAGACTTGAGCACAGTGTAGGGACTAGAGAGTCATGCTTGAGTCTAACTTCTGGTCTACAACATATTCGAAAAGATACCATCATGAACATTAAGTTCACTGAAACATTGAAAAGTCTATTATTATTCTTACAGACCCTTGAAATCAGTTCTGGCTGATAGACATATATCAAACATAACTTTGAGTATTTTGGTTGTGAACTGTGTTATGTGAAACCCCTGTCATGAGCTATTTCTCCTGGTTGTCATGACACTATTTCTCTCCCTTGTTGTGACACAATATCTCACTATTGTCATTATATAATTACCAATTGTCATGACACTATATTTCCCAATTGTCATGACACTATATTTCCCAATTGTCGTGACACTGTATTTCCCAATTGTCGTGACACTATATTTCTGAATTGTCATGACACTGTATTTCCCAATTGTCATGACACTGTATTTCCCAATTGTCATGACACTATATTTACCAATTGTCATGACACTATATTTCCCAATTGTCTCTATATTAAGATGTTCGTATTACCAAGGAGTTCTGTCTATATATATTTTTCTTAAACAAGGTGCTCCAAACTAAAGGAGTTTGGATTAAAAACATTTCACTGTAGTAATGCATATGTCACTTAGATCAGCCCACATTGTCAGCCCATATTTCATACAGTAATATCTTCCCTTACACAAACCAAATATCACATATCATGTCAGGGGTGTGTCCTCTGCGGGGGATTCCCGGAGTGAAAATCCCCCAGCAACTAACGTTGATCATAAGAGTTATAAGTTGATCACGTGGTCAAGGCCAGTGACCTTCAGTAATTGCAGGTCATCCTACCCTGATGGCAGGAGTTGTTGCCCACAGTATCCACCACTGGGTTGTCGGCAAGGTATTTCTTAGTGCTGCTGTAAACTATCAGGCACTTCTTGGTCTGTGTAACTAGGGACTCTTGATAATGAAATATAGTGACTTCGGCTTTAAACTGGGGCTTGACCACTGTAATAAAAAGTGTGAATTATTTAGGATGACTTATAGTCAACAAAGATGGAAATGTCTGCTGTTGATGATCTGAGTGCAGAAGATATGACATGGACCATTGTGAACAGTCTGCACATGAGTTGTATTTGTTGTCAGTACAGATGTATGTCATAACTTTAACATACCTGCTTCAGGTTTAATTTGTATGTATTAGTCCAACCTCAATGTTCCTTTACTTCAAGTGGGATTCTCCATGCATACTATTTGCATGCATTGGTAATTTGTATCTGGTGAAAATATCACCTGCCAGGCGACATTCCACATATTGGACACACTGTATGCAAGGCAGCTGCACTGCAAAGGTGATTACTGACACAAACCCTTACATGTCACAGTTTCATTTAAATATTGATACAGTCTTCCCTGTTTAATGTGTTCCTTGTTCCTTATGGGTTCAACAAGTGATAAGTGCTGGTATCTGATATAATATTATACGATGGGTGTTCCTGATTCCACTTTTCATTCCATACGCTTTAGATGAATCTCTGTAATATGAACCATTAATGCCAGCCCCGGTTATCTGTCAATACAGACAGATTCCCTTGGTTGTAAAAGCCAAAATAGCTTTGTTCATGATGCAGGTAGGAAAAGATGACCCCATTTTCAGATACCATGGAGATGGAATGTTGGTTCTAATACAAGATGATGTGTAATTGCTGTGTTGGAGTTGACAGGGTTGACACAGAATTGACCTGTGGTTGACTCCGCACATTTTGGCACCGCTACTCTCCCTGGCAGTGTGAGGATCTCTAGCTAACCCATGTCCACCTTCCGTCTGTTCTCCAGGTCTACCAGAAGTCCAAGTGGGAGATTGAAGCATCAGGGGAACAGCTAGGTGAGTGCTATTGGCAGCAGTCAGGAATAAGTTTGTCACAACCATATAGAGATTCATCACTACACTTTCTTAACTTTGAGCCATGCAGCATCGAAAAGGTGTGTACAAGATGGTTAGTACGGGAAAGTAGTCACGGCCATCATAGAACTCCAAGACTCTGAGACACCTGAGTTTGTATGTAAAGTATGTTCTTTTGTCTGTTGAACCAGGAGAAACCCATGCAGTGTGCAAAATAGTTTCAAAATTTTGCTAGCCAGTCGGGCCTAAAAGTTCAAGCCCACAAAATAATTCACATGCCCAAAATTTGAATGTAGACTCGTGTTTCATCATTAAGCTGCTAATATGATGAACATTTATATCAGGCCATAATCTTGCATGATTTAAAAGTGTGTTATAACTTAACAAGTCAGAGAGAGAGTGATATATTCATAAAATGACCCCATGAAAATTCACTAGCCAGTTGGACCAGTGAATGTGGAGATTTACTGGTCCGACTGGACTTTTACTAGCCACGGGCTAGTAGGCCAGTGACTATTTCACACACTGAACCAAGTATGCTCTTTAGTCTGTTGAACCAGGAGAGGCCCAATTCTACCATGACTTCAGTAAATACTGGATTGTGATTGGTTTAAATCTGTATAACGTAGTCATGGTAGAATGAAGATAAACATACTCTGTTGGATAATCAGAGGTATATAACAAAATTATAATAGCTCTAAATATTTTATTGAATACCTCACGCTAGGCGTTCGGTTTTCAATCACATTTAGAGCTATTATAATTTCGTTATATATGTACCTCTGATTTTCCAACACAGTATGTTTATCTCCTAATAGGAGGTTGTTTTGAATTTTCACGTAGCTGTTGAAAGGGGCGTCAAAAATCATTACACATCTAACTGTATTATAATATAGACCAGATCCACACACACTGACCACGTTGTGTTTCAGACAAACTTGACGGTCTCCGTCTCAACAAGAGGAAGAGGAGTCCATCTCCCCAGAGTCTTGATGACTATCTACAACTGGGCTATTTTAATCGTATGTCTGAACCAGGAAAGAAGAGGGTGAGTGGTTCTTCTGAGAGAACTCTGCTTTCTCATTTAACCTGCCAGAAATATTTATATTTATATTAACTTTTTCCTTTTTATTGTAAGTTTGGAAAGGAGCATTTAGATATTACCTACAAATGTCACAACTCATTTGAATTTGATTCTGTTGTAAAGGGAGATTACTCTTACAGGCTTAACAATAATGTGGACCACGATACTTCTTAGCACCTTAACAGACTTTGAAATATTTTAGTTACATTATTTATTCATAATATTCGGTACTTGAAAAAAATATACTATAGAAATTGTTGTCCCCAAAGATTATTCCTTACACCTAGAAGTCTAAAATAATTTTGTTGAGTATTATGACCTTGACTTCGTCATTATATTTCTTTTAGTTTGAGTTTGTTCTGGTTGTTAATTGTTTTGAGATGTCAATGGTCAACTTTTCTGCCATTTTAGGTTCGGTGGGCTGATGTAGAAGAACGGCAACATCAGAGTCGAAGACGCGAGATTGGGTTTATCGTAGGGCAGACGCAGAGAGACTGGGAGAGAATCACAGATGATGACTTTGCTCACAGAGCACTGAATCAAACAAAATATTTTTAAACTATTAAAGGTAGCTACCCTGTTTTCTCAACATTGACCTCAATCAAAATGGCATCCTTCCTTGTTGAATATAGAACTAACACACTTTACTTGAAAGTCCCAGAAAGTGTGTGTTGCAGAGACATTTCGGGACTATCTCTGTGTTCAGGCCGGAGGTCATCATAGTAGATGATAAACCATTCACATCAGAAGAAAAGGCCTATGATAAATGTATTGGTCCTCTTTCATGTCTTCTCTATGAGGCATGGTCTGTGGGCCCTGTGTTGTTAGTCTTTCACTGATACTGAAGTGATATTGCCTTCCTTTGTGCCAGTTTTGGGACTGGAGTAGATGTTAGTCCGACCGTCACAGGGAGTAAGAATCTTCCGGTGTGAGTTTTTGTTGGTTTGATTTGATTTATTACAATGAGATCAGGGGACTGCATGATCGTGAGGTCCTGGTAAAATAACATTTGGATCATGAGGTCAGGGGACGAGGTTTTGGGAAAATATAGTTGCAGTCAGGGGCAATGAGCTAAGGATAATAAAATCATGGTCAGTCGATTGAAAAACTCAGATCATGAGGTCAGGGGACAGTGAGGTTGGGGCATGATGAAGTTGGGACATTGGGACACTGAGGGATGGGACATTGGGACACATTGGGACACTGAGGGATGGGACATTGGGACACTGAGAGATGGAACATTGGGACATGGAGGGATGGAACATTGGGACACTGAGGGATGGGAGGTGGGACATTGGGACACTGAGGGATGGGACATTGGGACACTGAGGGGTGGGACATTGGGACACTGAGGGATGGGACATTGGGACACTGAGAGATGGAACATTGGGACATGGAGGGATGGAACATTGGGACACTGAGGGATGGGAGGTGGGACATTGGGACACTGAGGGATGGGACATTGGGACACTGATGGGATGGAAGGTGGGACATTCAGCTCACAAGGAAATGAGGTTCAGGGTCATGAAGACGTCAAGTGAAGATGATGTCAGGGGCGTGATAGGACCAGAATCTTACCTGAACTGTGAGCACATATATACACCATCTTGTGACTTTTTTTATCAGCTTGGGGCGGTTGGGTAGCCTGGCTGTTAAAGCATCCCCTGGCCATGTCCAAGACCCGGGTTTGAATCCCCACATGGTCCCCCTTCCCTGATATTGGTGGAATATTGCTAAAAGCAGCGTATAACCATACTCACTCTTATGGATATCTTGAAACCATGATAAGTTTGTGTTGGGCACACTAAAACCCCTGTTGACTGTGGATTTAACAAAAGTTCACATGTTAGCATGACCACAAATTATGACATCATGCGTCCTTACATTTGTAACATACAGTGAAACAGTTCACGGCCTGAACACAATCTTTGTATGTCTTTTGCTCATTTGGATATTACACTCATCTTGAGTCATATTTTATGTTTTGAGACTGAAATAGCAAATTGTTTTCAATGAGTGACACGACTCTCCAATGAACCAGCATTTCTCCTCATTAAAACTGTAACCAATACCGAGTTTCAGAGTGAAACTGCCAACATAATAATTGTGAGTGTTGATAAACCAACATGGAATTATCTGTATAACTGTGTGTATCTCGAAAGGTTGTGTGTATCAACAGCTTGTGTTTCACACATACGATCAGCTGATGCTATCGAGGGCTATTTGCATGCAATCGGAGCCCAACGTTACCCCCCCATATCTAACAAGGCTAATGGTCAATTGTATAAGGGGTCTTCACGACGCTCACAGATAACTTGCACAAGACGGTTTTGTGGTGGAACCAGTGGTGTTTTGTTGAAAGCTTTGTTGTATTGGCGAGAATATTTTCTTAACCAATATTTCACAGTTTTTTATCTTGATTTTATTCTTAAAAGTTACTGGTAATCTTGATGTGTTTGTATTCTTTTAATAGCAAAATGTTATATCTTATCTTTTTAATCCTCATTTTCCTTTCCCCTTTGGTGTTGTCATTGTTTTTCTATATATCTGTATATGTGTATTGTGTATGGGTATAATTTAATGAAATCACAAATTACAGACCTTTGGTGTATAGTGTGAGAACCATTGCTTGATTCAGTTGTGCATCAGGGTCATTGTCCTGTCTCGTTCTCCACATCCAGCAGGGAGGTTACTTACCTCCACATAATGTCCGTAAACATACATCTGTACCCTAATCTCAACCTGGTTCCGGGAACTACCTGCTGACATGGGTATCCTGGTTATGGCTAGAGATTTCCTCGGACTTTCTGTCTGGGGATTCCAAGTATGACAGTCAGGATGACCATTTTACAAAAATATTTTGTGGATGAGATTTAACCAAGATTTGGTATTACTTTCGTGTTTTGTTTTGTCATGCTAAACAATGCCCTGAAGATAAAGATAGAACATTTGGTATAGCAAGACTTGAAGATACATGAGGCCAGTGTGGGTTGGTTGGGTGGACAGTGTCCTTCAACCCAAATTTGGTTCTTTGGGTTCTCCATTGTTCTGTGTCCCATGGGGTTTCCAAATGTACACTGTGACACTGATTCTCAATTTTAAAGATTTTCCTCAAATATGAGTAAACTGCATTCATTCGCCAACACAACCTCCGTGTCCTGAAGCATTCCCTGAAACCTCCCATTCATGGATGAACTTGTACATTATTAAAGAGCATATTCCCTGAAACGTCCCATAAAATGATGTTCTTATTGATTGTTCAAAGTACATCAGTTTATACCTTCACCAACGTGATACCATGACACTGACTGAGACATTCGTGAAACGTCGTTTAGTTTTGTGTGTTGGGTACAAAAGTGCTCTTTGTTATTCCTACCCCAGTGTCAGCATGATTATGTATCCCACATTCCCTGCTCAGCACAGTTTATGTGTTCTATGTGGTATGTGAAATCATTACCTTTGAATACAGATAGCAATGCTGTCTATAGCATGCGTTAAACAAGCATGTTGATCTCATGCAGTTCTAGATGTGTATCATCGTTAGCATGCCTTTCCGTGACCTTTTGGCACTGAGGAAAAACAAGATGATTCTCACAATAACAACAGTGTTCATACTACCCTTTGATACGATAACATAGAAATGTGCAATATATACATTTCTATGTTAATATAAAATAATCTGTATTGTTTTTTCGTAGATATTGTCTAACATGTTTAAATCATTCAGAATGAATATGAGTGTTTAAATTCTTGTTTTTGTCAACAGACATTGAGATATCAAGAGGGGCCTTTCAGATGAAATATTTTTGAGGATATTTTCAGGTTAACTTTCAGAGTCCCATGACACTAGGTCTGGTGTCACGCTGTATTGTTTACACTGCATGCAATTAATGAGCCTTCTCATGGCCTGCATGATGATTCCTTGCAAGATAAGACCTCCACGTTTATGTTCAACCAATTTGAAGGGAGTCCTAGGGCCACATCATTCAGAAAATTCCCTCATATTTTCTCATGATAATCAGTATTTATATAAACTTGACATATTGTGTCTATTTCTATAAAGTGTTTAAAAGTGTAAATTGCCTCTCTAAAGTTGTCGCTATCTTGTTGTACGTAAGTGTTTAAACACGTGTGTCGGCATGAGAAGACACCACCCACATTGTATATCCCAGACCGGGTTAGTAGTGAGTGCGGAGGAGGCAGATAGCTCCTTGTCACTCACACAGTCTGTGCTATCATCTACTACAAAGATGCTTTAGGAGACAATATTTGAAAATGTTGGTGTGTGGTTACTCCTGTTGCACTTCCCCAACATAAACATTGATAGAGATGCCACTTTTCTTAAACCACCGTTTTCCTGGAACCATATTTACAAGAGTTGTCCATGAAGCTATCTGCAAGGTGAGCTAAGCAATTGCGAGCTGGGTGATACAATCAAAGCTTTATCCTCACTCAGATTTTTACCTCCCCTGCCTCTGCCAGCTCCGCGTTAGTTCAAGTGACGATGGATGGGAACCAGCATGCTCTTTTACGCTTAATATATTGGATAAATCCAAGTGCCAAGGTGGACCACCCAAATAAATTTCTCAATTAAATGGATTTTTTCCCATCCAATGAAGGATTGTTAAATGAAAAATTTCCAATGTGTTTGCATGTGGTGCAGAATGTATGAGTGAGTTAGTCATCGGCAGATATCAGCCGATCCGCCGTGGAATTGGCCCTTCACTACATAAAGCTAAACAGATTGGGTTGAAATCAGTCTCTATTACCATTAATGTGATGTGAGATGGCTTGATAGCCCTAGCTACATGGCTTCTATATACACAGCGTCCCTATCTCACAAACCTCGGAGTATTTTCGAAGAAACAATCTGTGCAGACCTCCATAAATTAGACATCTTTTCAAACAGAGAGTGGGCCAAGTTGGTTGCCATTGGGTTTCCACTTGTAATTAGAGGAGTGTAACTCAGTCAAGAGGTATCGAGGACACTGGGGATTGTTTAATTGGGCACTTGGTTTGCTGCATATACATTTATCCTGATGGTAAATTGGATCTGGACAGTGTGAAGAGCTGACACACATTTTTACAATTTAAAACAACCTGTCATTTAACTTGATTTTTCTCTTTTGTTCTTACACCTTTGTGTAAATATTTTGTTAAAAAAAACAATAAATGAATTTTTTATTAGAATTTGTATGTCAGATATTTTAATGACTTGTTAATGACTAATATGTTGAAATGAAGGTGTAATCTTTGTATGTGTTTATATGATTATATATGGGTATGGCTTTGTTTAATGAATGTCTGTACTTGTCTCAGGGTATTCATGATTGATTCTCTGTTGGTTTATCATGGGTGGTTGTGTACCTTGTCACAGCTATACTGCAGAGGGCCGGGTGTTGGGACAAACAGGTTTCACACTACTCAGTGTTACAAGCAGATCATATAATGTTACAGTTCAGCTGCATGTCTTGAAGGTGTCATCACAATAGGTCAAAACGTAGTTTCAGTATTCACACGCACATGTTCCAGGTATTGTTGGGGCGATGGGGTAGCCTAGTGGGTAAAGCATTCAATCCTCATGCCGAAGACCCGGGTTCGATTCCCCACATGGGTAAAATGTGTTAAGCCCATTTCTGGTGTCCACCACCTTGATATTGCTGGAATATTGCTAAAAGCGGTGTGAAACTGAAAACTCATTCATTCATTCCAGGTAGTATTCTTAATAAGATGCACCTTGCACAACACTTGCAGATTCATGCAGGTTTAATAAGTCGCTCACAGTTGGAGATTCCCACTTTATCAAGAATTAATGAGTTTGTAACTAAAGCATGGGCCCACTGACATCCCAGTCTCCATCGGTCTTCTAAAGGCTAGCCTGCAGAAACTCAAAGCCGCAGATTGTCGAAACGACCTCATGAGTAATACCACTTGAATTTATAGGCACACAGCTACTTACAAAGCTCTTTGCAGGGTTTGGTGTTTCCCAGCAAGTCACAGGTCCAATATTTCATTCTAGTGTTTACATATGTAAGTAGGAAGGTGGAGGGGCTATGCCTGTGATGTTGGGAGCTTATCCTGTGGAAGTTGATACTTCTATCTGCAGATGTCAAGACGATTGCCCACAACATTAATTGATTATAAGAAAGTGCTGAGGACCCATTATGAAGACATGGGATGTTTGTGGCTATTTGGTTTTATTCCCTACTCTTTGATGTTCATCTATATCACTCACATGCCTACACTAGAAGTTATCACCAAATTAGCTTTTTGAGAATGTAATTACAATTTTTATTAAGGGAAGCTTGACTTTTACTTCTTTTCTTTCATTAGCTGTAGTATCTTTTAGATAGATGATTTCTTTGTTCCCACTGGGCTGTGTAAGAAGTCTTTGTCCTTATTCCAAATGCTTGTAAACAAATGCAAGAAAAGAAGGTATTGTTTAAGTTAGAGCAGTGATAAAACAAAGCATTAATTGGCCTCTTTATAGATTGGAGAGATCACATGTAATATTGTAGGTGTGGTTTGACAATACAGTGATTGAAGTATGACAGTGTCTGATACGAAACATTTCATATCAGCATCAGGGACTTCAAATTAAATATGAATATTCTTCATGTGATAACTCCCACGAGTATCCAGTTAAGAATTTGTCCAGCAACCCATGCTTATCATTAAAGACACTAATGGGATCGGGTGATTGGGCTTGCTGACTTGGTTGATGCATGTCATGGATTGATGTAAAGAATCACTGAAGTATCAAGTCCAGACTCGTAATCTCCAGAGTTATATTCTGTATAACTATGTGTTGTCCGAGTGTCTCAAGTGATGGATTATACATAAGGAGGTTAAATCATCTGTGTTCTAGGGAAGGAAGTGAAAAGAATGACCAAGTCACTGATATTATGTGTCTTGCTGTCTTTTGCAGGGTAATCTTCCTGGCTGAGCATGTTGTTGAATCAGCAGTACCTGAGTGTCCCTTCAGCTGCTCTGGTCATTCAAAACATCTGAGACAACACAACATCATACGGTCCTGAAAGTACCTTTGGATGAATGATGAAACTGATTCTGAAATGAATGGACACCTGATGTAGCCCATAGGGCTCAGTCAACATAAGAGGTCACAAGGTAATCTCGGGGTACTTGCAGAGGACTTCAAGCAGCCACAGTGTCATCAGTATGGCAGTTAAACTGTGGATGGGAACAGCCTACAGTTGCCTTCCTGAGAACAGCCACAAGCACTACTGTTAACAAGCTCTTCGTGGTTGTTAGAATGAGGAATTTTAAAGACATTGTACATGGCATGGCTGCATTTTGGAAAAGGTGTTTATGTCCATGAGCAGATCCTTTGGAAGCAGAGCATAGCTTGCACCCGATGCATGGCACCGCAGCTTTACTACCATGAGCCATCTCTATCGGTTTATAGAAATACAAAATATCTTTGTTCATTTGGGCATAGATGTCATTTCTGGTTTTAAAATGAATAAAGTTTTAATATATGTTTGAATGATTGCATGTTTTGTAAGTATTGAGAGCATGATCTGTTCCACCTTGGATGTACACATTGCCTCTGATGTTCTTGGTACCATCCAGAAGAGAACAGCCTCGCTTTTGTATTAAAGCTTGTAGATTTGTTGTTGTACTGTAGTCTGTTTTTATGTTGCTGCTGCTGTTTCGTGTGGTCGTTGTTGTGCAGAAAAGAAGAACAATTTCATCGTCCCAGCCAGCAGAGGTCAACAAGGTGTGTTAGCCAGGTTTGATACTACAGTCTTGTGGAGTGGCGGCTTTGTCAACTAAGACATCGTTTAACACTTCAGAACAATTTTACTTTCATTTTATGGTCGTTTTGTTCATTATGTGCTGTAAAAGCTTCTTAATGAAGGATATGTTTGTTTTGTGGACGGTTCTACTATTCTTTAAACTTTAAGATGTGTCATGATTTTATTATGACTTCTTTGTGCAAATTGCCTGGACTTGTAAATACTGCATGTAATTTAAATGTCTGGTGTTGTTACACAAACACTGGTGCCACTGAGGGAATATCAGTATTTGATATATGAAACCCCATTATTGCTGTACATGTATGTTTTAAGTAATAACATTCAAATCCTGTCTTGCACGTGCGTCTGTTTTAACATTTCATTACTGTTTTAATGTAAGATCAAAATTTAATGAATTTTACCTTCACAAGATGAATAACAAGCTTGTCTTACCAGCTTCATGCAGAACATCATCAACAGGAAGTTCCAAGTTCAGAAGGGCACTATTTGTGATGCCATTTTCCCTGTCCCTGACTGTGATATTGCTGGAAGCGGCTTAAAACGTATTTATTCATGCAGTACATGATATTTGAATAAAACAAATTTCATTATGTTAGAGTAAAAGTGCTCAAATATAGTACTGTGTATCAGTGTTTTTGAAGTACAGTATTTTCCAAGCAAACATGTATGTATATATATTGACGATTGGTGCAGCTGTTGGAGAAGGTAGGATCGGTGGATCATCCTGTAGTGATTACATTAGCTAGAAATATCGAAATGTAAGCATAAGGAGTTCGTTAAAGCTTGTTGTTTTATACCTGTGTCATTTTCATGTTTGTCATGTAAATTCGCTGCCAAATTGCAGTCATTCGTCTGGTCAATAAACATGCACTGAAAGAACTGTAGTTGTGTTGATATGAAGTTTCAGGAACAACAGAGGACCTTTCCAGCATACACTCGTGTAAGTATAGTATTTGACACCTGGTGTCAATCCAGCCAGATGTATGAAAGATGACACTCAAGTGCGTGCAAGCAGAATCTTGTGTGAAACGAGTCTTGTAAGTAGATGGGTCGCATAGTCCGACTGGAAGCTTATTAATAACAGGACTGTATGGTCATGTAAATGCTTCGTGGGTGGCAATTGCAAGTTAGCGTAAGTAATTAGAACACAGTTCTTCCTGTCCTGACGCAAGAGGAATTAGAACTCTCTGGTCAAGGAATACTTGGAATTTGTCATTTTGGATCTTGTCTGAAAATTAAGGCTTCTGTAAATTCGGTGTGTATATATATCTCTGTGTCGTCACCATGCAGGTTTTTTGCGAGAGATAAAGAAGGGTTTCTTCCGAGACCCCTTTCGCCTTCGCCAAGGTTGATTTGGAATGAACAGCATGGGACATTAAGATGTTCTTTGGGTAAATCTGTGTAGAAGAAGGGGAAAGTTATACGTTGCTTCTATTATTGTTCTTTTACAAAGCTTTTGATTTTGTAAACAGAGAAAAAAACTTTGGCAATTGGCTTGAACGGTAGAATATTATAAGGACTTAAATTACGAGTATAAATATGAAATGGTGATATCGTGTTGGTTTACGGCAGGGATGTCTGTTGAGTCCAGTGCTATTCTCACTATTTACAAATGAACTTGCTGTTGAAATCGCAAGTTATGGTAAACATTGAGTCCAATTGTTTCCAGATATACTTGAAATTCTAATGATGTTAATTGCAGACGACGTAATTCTCGTGTCAGGTAGGTACCCTCCCATTACCCCTACATGCCACTACCCCTACAGCTTATAACAACATAGTTTATGGTCTGTTGCATAACTAATCTCCTGCCTGTTACCTATTCCAAACAGTGGACTGGTCCACTTAAGATGCACAACATGACACAAGACAGATTTTAAAAGTGACTTTAATACATGTGTTATCACAAAGTACCACATCATTGAGATCAATTGTCAGGTTTTCAGTCTATTTACATTCAGTGTTTTCATATCATCATATAAGGATGAACAAAAGATCACATTATCACAAGTGTTTCATATCAACATATCAGGATGAGAGAAAGACCACATTATTACATTATCACAAGTGTTCAAGTGTCAGTGTTACAGTCTCCTGATGACTTCTACAAATCTGTAGATGTTCGGGTGCCTGTGTGGAATTTCTCGATTCAGACGGTTGTGGAATCCTTCCAGGTGGTTGTTTGTCCTCGGCCCAGCTGTCAAGTTGTGGTTCCACAGGTGAAGAAAAAATCTGGCAGTGTCGTCGACCCATGTTGTCACGATGTAGTCGTTGAAGTCGCCAGCTCTTGGGACGTCAGGAGTGTCATCCATGGCTTCAATCCAAGTGTCTTGGACCGCGGCTTGAGGAAGTAGAGGTAGTCCAGCTGCTCTCCTGATCCACTTGGTGACTTCGGGGTTTTCCTTGTAGGCAACAGCTAGTCCAAGATCCTGAACCTTCCTCCAGATGGCTTGACAGAAATGGAAGAAACAGCCCTTCACGTCAGCAGTGGGAAATTCTGTTTCTATGGCGTGGATTGCTGCTAGCTCAAAATCGGTCTGGATGCAGGCAGGATCAAGCGGTCTGTTGAGTCTCTGCTGAACTTCATCCTTGAGCAATCGGAAGAGTCTGGAGTAGGTTGTTGTCTGGCGGTCCGGAAGAAGGGCGAAGATGAGGGATATGTTGAGCTGCCACGTCTTGCATGGATGATGTATACTTGATTCCACAGTGCAGGACAGGCTGTGAAAGTTCCATCCATGTAGAGGTTGTCAGCTGACTGCAAGGCTTCAAGACTCTCTTGTGTTCCGAAGGCCAAGATCTTGTCGTCATGGCCGTCCGCAAACAGGAGGAATGGTCTACCATCTGCTGTCTGCGTCCAGGGATCTTGGAGGTCGACTTCTGATCTCGTCTGTGGTAAGACAGGAATCGTCTTCTGGCGGTGGCGGTACAGGGCACTGCTAACAGATGGAAAGGAGGGCATGGTACGTGTCTCGTCATCAGTCAGGTTGGTAAGCTCGTTGTTGTAGATGGTGCGCATCGGTATTGACTCCTCCCTGGCTCTCTTCCTCAGGTTGCTGACAAACCGGACCTTCTGGCTATCCTCTGGTGGGTGATTGTGTTCAGTCGTATTTCTTACCACATCGCCAACAGTTGTGACTCTTCCTTTGCATGTTGACTGCACACACTTCCAGTGTACACAGGTCTGTCGCTCAACATTCTTAGTGTGAAGATATCCATCCAACAGAACTTGACGGCTACCTCTCCGTGACATAACAAACTCAACATTGCGAAGACCAGCCATGTTGATGCCATGTTTGTTTCATGTCAGCACTTATATACTGTATGGAACAATCTCAATTTCCTGTATCATCTCCACGTTTTATTTCTCTCAACTTCTCAACATTGTAATATATGTAACATTAAAGTGCACTATAACAACTTTTCTTAACAACATTTAGCAATCACAACACTTTTCCAATTGTATGTTTCTTCTACTCAGGGTTGAGGTTTGTTTTCATCATGAGACCACTAATTTCCTTGCCACAAAAGACTAATCACATTTATGCATCCCTTGATCTCATCTATGCTCCATGCACTAATCCCTCTTTAGGATTAGTCTATTATATCAGACAGGTAAATGCTAGGTGTTGTTTTAACTAGCTGTAGGGGTACTGGAGTGTAGGGGTAGTGGCATGTAGGGGTTATGGGTGTGAACCGTCAGGTACTATGGCGATCTAGACACTTTGGAAGCGTGTGGGGATTAGCTGTTACGTTACATAAATCGAGTGTTCAAGTTTTTAGTGGAGGTGGGAAATCAGCTTCAAAGGTAAACTGACTTTGTAATGGGAGTAAAATTATATAACGGTAAACACCTAGAAATATCAAAGTTTTGTGTTCACGTGTAATTTTAGTCAAAGCTGTTTTCAGTGGTTGTAAGGCGCCTTGGGACCAATAACTTTGGAAGTGTTTATACAATATGTTTGTGTGGGTTTAAGATAGGATAGCATCGAAACAATAACACAAGCATAAAATATTCCTATAGTCGGTCCACAAACACCAAATGTAATAGTATATGTTATATTATGTAGATACTGCTGGACACAACACATGGGAGATCTGAGATCCCTCACACGGGTTTGAATTTATCTGGCTTTTACCAGCTGTTGGTGATCAGTGCGCATTTACTAACAATTTTAAGAACGCTTGATCAACAATTTATACCACAACTTGACATCTCCCTCTTGAAAACAGTTCACGAAATAAGCTGTGAAGATAATACAAGAGTCTTCTTGAGCTAATGTATATTATGATCCTGTGGCCATCATGTAATAACGATCTGATCAAGCGAGAAATACATGTGCGTTCATGTATCGACCGCTACTCATCTTCATCCTGAATACTATATTCCTTGGTACTACTATCAGATATTGTCCCAAGTTGGAATAATTAGTTACGATGCAGCGAAAGTAAAATATGTCAAACGAACTTCCTTGTTCTTGATGTTTATGCAGCTCTTTCCGCCTCTTGTCGAACCCGTGACTGAATCGCTCATACGAGGACGCGCGTATCAACACGCCAATCACGGTATTTCCCATGACAATCGGGCATAAAGGTTTGTTAATTTTCAGACCCAACGTACACTAATTACTGAAGTGTGCTATAAGGTGAATAAATATATGTTGATGGCAAAAGCCGACCTGACTATGCTCATTAGTGTCAAATACACTTGTGTTCGTCATTGTTGAATGAATTTAAGTCAGTATTTTGATTGCGACCATCAGACGGAACATGGCGATCACGCTTTTCATTGGCAATTGCAAATAGGGACATCAGTGAGTTTACTCATAATTAAGCCGTACGATTTCTCATTACCAACGCGGGAGATTTACTTGACATTGTCCTCTTGGGCTTGAATGTTGCCAACTTCGCCACGTAGCGTTGCAAACTTCTGCAGTTACTTCTGAAATCAGAAAGCTTTGGACTACCGGTTATTTTTACACGTGACCTTCATTAAGTTTTGCTTGTGTTGTTGAGCCATCTGTCACAATTGCTGCAGTCCAAAGACGTGCACATAAACTACACCAACCCTGAAGTAGTCTACTCCTTATTGAAGTTGACAAACTGCCTACAATACAGCTTACAGTTGTTTTACCCAACAGAGCCAGTCTCAACAGAATACAGATGTAAGGTGGCATGCTGTTTATGCGCCCCATCATATGCGAGAATTTAATGTTGAGTGAAGGAAAATCAGCATGGGAGAGAGTTGGAAGATGACCCCTTCTCTGGTAGACCCACCATTACAAACGAAAACATTGATATATACACATGTGCATTAATTAAGCACCACTTGTTTCCAAGGGCAATTTTACATATACGGTCCCAACAGGCGATCATAATATAGCATACTGTAGTGCAAATGTAAAGCACGTACTTCACACAATCTCTCAAACGCATGTTCTCATGATGCGGAGGTGCTAAGCACATAGGGATATATATAATAGCAGGAGTTGCACTATAGTTTCCCGAACTAATTTAATAGACGAAAGTTTCTTTACCTGACAAAGACTTTCTGAAAATACGCGGTGGTGCATGACACAGTCATGGTGCATGACACAAGAATGTCCTGTCGTAACTGCGGTGGGGTTAATTGGTCTATTGAAAGTCGTCTTTATACACGTTACCGAACGACGGCCTTTGTCGCGTATGAAGACTTCTTAACGAGGCATGTCACAAGGAGATTTCTGTGCAGCACATGTTCGCTCAGTGCTGGTGTGGGGATGCGTTTCAAGCGACCACATCGATACACATTACAATACCTGGGACACTGAATGCTGTACGTTATGAACAGGAAGTACTGGATACCTCCGTCGTGCCACAATCTGATGGATGTCCCTTGC